CGAAAGAGAAGGACTGGTTGCTCTCTTGGTGGAGGTCTCATTACCATGAGTACCCACGTATGGCTGCAGCTGCCAGAGATTATTTGGCTATACCAGCATCTGGGGTATCAGTCGAAAGACTGTTCAGTGGGGGAAGAGATCTCTTAGGAGTGCGGAGGAGCTCAATGAGTGCAGAGACTATGAGGCGTCTTATGATGCTGCGAGATACATGGAAATAGCTTCAGAGATTTACGAATAATTACGAATAATTACGAATAATGCGAATATTATTCGTACGAATATTAGTAAGCGGAAATTCTAAATTTTATTCGTATTCGACTACGAATATTCGTACGAATATTCGTAATCGAATATTCGTGTCCAGCCCTAGTGGTGGTTGCCCTCTTGTCTTGCACATGCTGAAATTTATCGGGTAAAATCTTCGAAGATAGAGATGCGAGCCGGATTGTCCTCCCGGCATTTGATGTCGGGAATATGGCGGGGAAGATGGAATGGTTCCACGACCTGACTGGACATCCTTACGGTCCCTGACGCGTCATATAGTATTATTCACCCTAACTTAATTATCGGTTTGTCTTTTAAGTTAATAAGCCCTTGAACACGTAGACAGTCTCCTACCATCTTAAGCATTCTCATCATGGATCCCAAAGACGTCGAGGTTCCCCCATTGAAAGACCTCACCATTGACAACATCACGGAGAATGTACATGCCATCAACTCAAGATGCGAAGATCCGCGCTTCAAGTATATCCTCGAACGAATTGTCACACATCTACATGATTTTGCAAGGGAGATCAGACTCAGTTTCAGTGAGTGGGAGGAGGGGATTAAGTTTCTCATCGAAGTTGGGCAGATAAGTTCCGCAACTCGCAATGTATTTCTATGATCTTACTTTCATAATATCCTTCAGGAGGCTAATGCATGATTAGGAATATATTTTGCTGTCCGACGTGCTAGGACTATCAATCTTGGTCGACAGTATCGACCATCCTAAACCGCCGGCCTCAACGGATGGCACTGTACTAGGCCCTTTCCATACTCATGATGCAGAACTCGCAGCACACGGTGCCAATATCACCCACGATGCGGATGGCCAACCTTGCCTTATACTATGCACCGTGAAAGACATGGCCGGCAACCCCATCGAGGACGTGAAGATCGACATTTGGGAGACTGACTCTCACGGGTTCTACGATGTCCAGCGACCAGGTAGGATAGAGCCGGATGGGCGGGCGGTATTGCAGAGCGCTGCCGACGGGTCGTTTTGGTTCAAAGCGATAGTCCCTGTGCCATATACGATACCGGACGATGGGCCGGTTGGGAAGCTGTTGAAGATCATGAAGCGACATGCATATCGACCAAGCCATATGCATTTCATGTTTGAGAAGCCGGGATATGACCATCTCGTCACGTATGGTGTCCTGATAGAGTATGATACGCGTATGCTGACATCTATGTAGGTCTCTATTCCTTCGAGGAGATCCGTACGAGACCTCTGATGCTGTATTCGGCGTTAAGGAGTCCTTACTCACCGATCTGGGAACTGTCAATCCTGAACAAGAAAAGACTTACGACGTGAAGGAAGGAAGCAAACTGATCAAATACGATTTTGTTTTGGTCACTGAGCAGGAGACAAGAGAATTGCGAGAAAAGAATGCAATGCAGGCGATGCAAAATCTAGGGTTACGGATGAAGATCTACCATGGTCTGCCCGTTCCTGATGTAGACTAACTTAGGATCTATATTTCAAGCAATGATATTTACCTTATGTCTTTTTCAAAGTCTCTCATTGTCCTGACTTTTGCCCTCGAAATACTTCAACAACGTGTTTCTTTGCGGAGGCGGCCCTTTCGATTTCTTTGGCGTGCCTCCACTCTTCCCCTCTTCCGCCGGCGGTTTCTCCCCTATCTTCATCGTCTTAATCAACCCCTCAAACACATCCTTATCCACAATCCCCCCACTGGCCTCCTTATGCCCTCGTGCGAAATTCTCCCCCAGCCTCGTTCTCAACTTCTCGTCATCGGCCTGATTTGCGTATTCCTCCAACAACTCAATCACATTCGGCGGCCGATCCCAGCCGCGCGCAGACTTCGCAACCCGACATGAGAAATTCACCTTCCCCTCCAAATACCCGTCGTTGGCCACCATTATGATCTCCAATTTCTTCGCCGCAAGGAATCCTGCCCACCTCGTCGCGATTATGGGATGCACTTGGCAAGGAGATCGGATCCGCAACACCGCGACGCGTCCATCCCGGCCGAATTTCGGCGGCGCATGTGTGCAACGTTCCACTTCCAAGCGAATCTCTTCCCTCGCAGCGCGCAATCTCGAATTCTGAAGGAGCTTCTTCAACCCGGCTACCGGGTCGTCAGTATCGCACGCTTGACGCAAGGCGTCCCACGCTGATGACACGTCATACTCTGCGGTTCTGCGCGGGGCGTTCAATGCGGACACCGCCTCGTTGAGGGCTTTCTTCGAGTACCGCTTCAGCGGATCCGCCATGTTTGGAAAGGGGGGTTCCCATTTCAGGTTCGTTCCTAGATCGCCGTGAGTGCCAATGATCGCGAGCCAGTCGCACTTGGATTCGACATCACTGTGCAACGCTTCGCAGATGAGATAGGTGAGTAATGACGAGGTGGCCACGGGGGGCGAGTCGCAGGCAGTAACGTATGCGGCGCCAGTAGGAAAGTCGGATGGTGTGGTCTGGTGGTGATCGATGACAAGGGCCGTATGTGGTCTCGAAAGAAGAGGGGGCCCTACACGAGATCCGTGGTCCAAGACGAAGATATAGGATGGCTCATAGGCGGCAACTGCTGCTAGTTCCACCTCGCTAAAGACATTATTGCCTTTCGAAAGAAGGTGCACCGAGATTCGATCTTGAGGCAGTCCAAGGAGCACCAATGTGGTATATAAGATTGCGCCGGAAGTTAAGCCATCCGCATCCTTGTCAGGGACAAGGAGGGTATTTTGCTTCGAATTTGCGCTGGATTACAATCATCAGTTCTGCATACGCTCGAGTTCTCAGACATTTAGACGGGAATACCAATCAAGAATGATTTTCTGCGCATGGTGGATTTGCTCTCTTGGCGCCGGCCATATAGCCTGCCCCTTCGCGTCTCGTTGCTGAGGAGTAAGATGGTATGCTGGAATATCATGTTTCAAGCGTTTATTCGATGCATTATCCCGGACAAGAGGCGCCGACCGCTTCATCTCTAACCGATCTACCATCAACTTCAAGATGGACCTGAATTTACTCCAACTCTGAGTCCGTATCATAACATCCTAGGCTTATACTGGCAACGTAAATAGGGGACCGATTTCAACTGGGATTTATTATCTCTCGGTGTAAGAACTCATGACCGTAACATCGTTGTTAGTTACGTCCAAAACATTCACGTAAGACATGCGATCAGATGAATGTTGAAGACACGATGACGTAGGCTAAGCTTTCACTAAATTAGCGCCCCCGATTGACATGGCTCCAGACTCCTCAGTCCACCGCTCCGCTTCACTCCCCACTGAACAAGAAACAACGCCGACGACAAGCTAGGATGAGACTCTAGAGATAACTACAGTCATGTTGAACAGGCATTGTACATTCGAGTAAGCAACTCGTAGCGGCGTGAAACCAAAGATAAATATGCACATGATATAGCTCCACCGCTGCATCTAAGCCAAAAGTAGGGAAATCGGGGTATCAATGCATCATTCCTTGGATGGATCATGTACGTCTTCGGATTCTGCGTCCTGAAAACCTCTCGCCTCGGGATCCTCGACCCCATATTCCTGAACTTCGGAACCTCGCGTCTCCATCTCCTCGACGAGCTGTCTCCCTCCGCCCTCGACCATGAGCCGGATGGTCTCATCCGTCACGGCAACCCCTTCCTTATCCATCGCATTTAGCGTATCGGCTGCGTACTTGAGATTGCCGCTGATGACGTAGGACGAGGCCAGGGTATTCCACGTCGTGACGTTAGGGCTGATCCCATGCTTCCCCATCAACATGAGAATCCGCGACGTGGCCTCGAAGTGGCGATGCTTCATGAAGGCGCGGAGGAGGATGTTGTAGGTGAAAACGTCGGGCTCGTACGGGCGGGGGCGCTTTTTCATGGGCCTGTCCACGTGATCCGGGATGACCAGCATCTGCCGCAGCTTCTGGTCGGACGCGAGTGGGGATGGCTCGCTGGGATCGTCAACACCCGCGATCCACGAATGGGCCTGCTCGCGGCCACCGCGCCGTCGACGGGTCATATCGGCGAGGATCTCGAGGCAGAGGTGCACAGTTTCCTGGCGGCGTCCAAAGGCGAACAGGAACAGGTTGTAGAGGGATGACCTATCCAATACCGAGGAGAAGATCTTGCTGTCTAAGCACAGGCTCTTGAAGCGGTTGTAGAGCGGGACCAGTTCCCGAGGCGAGGCCATGAATGGTTTGCGAGACATGTACGCGTGAAGAACCGTCTTGATCGCATTGGTGGTGGGGAATATCAGCGACCCGTGGCGCGGAATGGTGTCCGGATCGGTCGAATCCTCATACACCCCCAGCTCATGTAGAATCTGGTCATCAAACATGGAGCCGTAGGTTTGCAGTGTCCCTTCGAGAGACACTTTGTGGCCCTCGGATTTGGAATATAAATAGAACGCCCGGAGGATATGGTCGGCCAGCCCTGGCGTCGCGTGGTTCCTTTGCATCTGGATCGCATGGTCAAGGATGGCGTGTTTCAGTTCATGATCTGTGGTCCTCTGAAGACCGTACAGCATGGTCGCAACGGTGTAATGGTCGGGTTTGATGCCGACCTGGTAGTAGAGATCGAACAGCGTCTTGGCGGTCTCGATATCGCGTGCGCGAAACGCGTTGTAGAGGAGAACGTTGTAGTGGATGACGTTGAGCTGCAGGCCGAGATCGACCATTTCCGCTACTAATCGGGTGTTCTGTTGGTATCCATCGGCTTGCTTCATGCTCTTATGTAGAATCGTGGTGCAGACTTTTTCGATCACTGTTTTTCTTTGCCCCCATTTTGGCATTCCGGCTGCAATGCGTAGAACACCCATAGCATCGTTGTACCGGCCGATTCGACCAAAGGCCGTGACCAGATGCATGAGCGTCTCGAAATGAAGAGACGCCACACCCCCCGCCCGCGATATCACGCCGACGAGTTGTTGTAATTGAGCCTCGTCGCTGTGTGTGAAAAGGATATAGTACACCTTCGCATCGATGTAATACCATTTGGTCGACCAGGCAGAGAACACCTCCATCACCACGGAGAAGACATTGGAAGGAAGTTTCTGCTCGTAGTTGGGATACTGTTCGAAGGCCGACGTCAGGATAGCCTTGAGCGCATCGGAGATAGGGTTGAAACTCCCGGTGACCGGCATGCATCGCATACCGACCAGGGCCTCCAGTGCAACCCGAGGGTCGTTCATAAGAAGTTGGAGCATAGTATTCGGCCACATGTGATACCTGTGAGCGGCAGGAACTTCGAGCCATGCGTCGGAAATGCCACGGCGGTCGTGTCCACGGCTGAGGAGGTGCTCGACCCACATCGCAGTGTCGGGAGCCAGGGAGATCTGATGGAAATTCTCGTTCAAAAGAGTGGATGGAACTCTTCCGGGGGGGGAATAAACGGTCGGGGCGCTGGAATCTGGAGCGGCATGCTCTTTCGCAGCTGGATCGGGGAACAGATCCTTCTCCACACTCGGAGTCCATGCCACGACCTTTTGATCGGCTGATGTTTCCGACATCGGCTGCGACGGCTCGGTTCTGATCGGCCCGTATATTCGAGGGAAGTTCTGGAGCCACACGTCGCAGTCGATCGCGATCTGCTCCCATTCACAGGCGTCATCACGTTGCGGTTCGCCATCTTGAATCAGGACCGATGGCTCGCTACGCTGGCGACCCCCCCACAAATGCTCTCCGATCCCCGTCCGCAAAATGGGCGTGTATGTAGTCGTAGATTCTCGGTCGTGATCCGATGGCGACGGCGGGTCATCTTCCCGCGCGTCGACCGCGTCCGCGGTCCGCGGTTTCGGCCCTTGTTGGAAGCTGCGGATATGCGAACGTCGGAGATGGAGGTCCGCCCACCCGGGACCGCGGGGAGATCCTCGGAGCAAGGGTCGCCATGAAGTCACCCGTATCATACGACTTCGTAGCATTAATGGGACGGGAGATGTCGTTCATCGGGGCAGCGGTTGGGGAGGATATGCATCGGGGGTCGTCGGCGGTGGCGCGTGGGCTCGTGGAGGTTCATCGGAAATGATCCATGGTTATCGTGATGGGAGGAAATGGCAATGCTAGGTTCGTCGCTACGATGGACGGTAAGAAATAATAAAATGGATCAATGGAAGGGGGCGTGTTGAGGATGAGATTTGCAATACTGCGAGTCGACGACTTTAGCAGAAATTTGCGCATTGACCACATGAGACCTCGAATTCCCCTGCAGCCAACAAATGTCCACGATATCAATATATCATCCTCGAGCTGTCGGGTAACAAAATACTTAATACCATCCATCCCACCCGAACGAAACACTTAATATCATCTATCCCATCCAACCGCCGTCATGCCCTCCAACGCCTCCCTAAAAGCCGCCGCCGACGAGCGCAAAGCCCGCCTCGCCCAACTCAAGTCCCTCAAACGCAAACAACCCCCCACCGACGACGATACCTCCACCCAACCACCTGCAAAATCCCCCCGACCTTCCACCTCCCCACCCCCTACCGTCACCACCACCTACCTCTCAGGCCGCAACTACGACGCCTCCGCGCGCGGCCCGAAACTCGGCTTCGAACACGACCCGTCGGCCGCGCACGCGACGCTCGAGCAGAAAGCGTCAGCGCTTGCGGAAGAAGCACGGGCAGAGGCGGCGCGGGAGGCAGCGAGCGCGGAGAAGGCGTTGGATTTGTTTACATTACGGCCGCGGAAACCGAATGCGGATTTGAAACGGGAGTTGGATCGGAAGATGGAGGTGTTGGATGTGCGAACGGAGAATGCGGTGGCGAGGTTAATACGGGAGAGGATGGAGGAGGGGAGGAAGAAGGGGGGGAAGAAGGGGGAGATGGAGTTGGCGGGGGGGGCGTTGGATGGGGTGGGGCTAGTGGAGGCGATGCATGTGAGGGAGAGGGAAGAGCGGGAGGATGAGAGGAGGGAGAAGGAGTTGGACGATATGGATGATGCTGGATAGTGTCCCGAATGTCCGGTTGGCAGGAAAGCATGGTCATCTCACGCAAAAACGCGTAGCCTTGATGTTTGGCGGAGGAATAAGGCCCGAAGGGGGTATCTCGATAAAGAAATGCTATCTACGCCCATTGTCGGCGTCTGAATGCCGAACGTGCAGCTGCCAATTTGCCGCCCACGATCTAAATATGTCTTTTGAAGCCTCAGAAATTCCCATGCAAACACCTAACCAACAATTAGTGCATTCCCCCGCGATTCATCGCCTGCGTTAGAGCAATCCGCCGACTGTACGGACTGAGGCTCCTTTCCTTCGGCGGAGGAGGTCTCGTGCCCTCTGGCTGTACCTGTCTTCCTGCTGGCTTATGGTACCGTTCCGGTGAATGCGCCTTATTGGTGCGTCGGACAGGACTTCTGGATAGACTCTCATCTCTTCGATCCCGCTCGGGCGCTTTCGGCCGGTGTCTCCCTCTCGACGCCGACCTCCGTCTGCGACTGTTACCCCTACTTCGCGAGCTGGAGCGGCGCCAACTCCGGCGCTCCGAGTCACGCGACCTGCTTCGTCGTCGGCCACGGGAGTGCGGGCTGGTCGATGCGCGTCGTCGGCGTGTATTCCGGTCGTCGTGATGGGACGACGGCGCAAGATCGTCGTCGGACGACATATGACCCGACGAGGAGCCACGTCTCCGTTTTCGATGCATGCGGTCGACGGAGGGGAACTTCGAGGGCCGCTGGGAGGTCATGTAATCGTCGGAGTCATGGCGGTTCGGCGAATGTGTCGGGGATCGAGATCGCGATTGGTTGGTGGAAATGGTGGAGACGGACGTCGCGGAGGATACGGACGGCGACCGCGATCGACGCTTTTCTTTGTGTGACTGTGGGCTACGAGATCGGTGTCGCGCTCTCTCCAACGCCTTCTGTGCAAGCTGTTCATCCGCAACACCCTTCCTAAACCGCTATTAGTCATGGACGAGGCATCGATGATGGGAGGGCACATACTGCCGGAGACGCTCATTCGGCACGTCGCTCGACAGCTTCGGGAGCAATTTCGGGTTCTGCAGTTGCTGAGTTCGCGATGGACGCGCTATGTACGGCCGATCGGCTGCCGATATGGTGCATTCATAGCTGTAATGGCCGCGCTTCAGACATTTCTGGCATACGGTAGAGGGGGGAGCTTTCGATCTCGCGAACTGCGGTTGGCGGAATCGGTTCATTCAGTCGACTGTCGGCCACCCCAGTAGGATTGACCTTAATCCCACGCGATCACGCTGGATGTTTGTTTGTTCAACGCCCACGGAGACCTGGTGACGATGGAGCCTCTGAGGCAGCTGCCAAGTGGGAACGAAGGGATAGGGAGATGGAGTGGTGGTTTGGATTGAAGGATGGGGTTGGGAAACAAGCCGTGGGTTAAATTGGACTGGCAAAACGAAGAGGGAGTCTTTATTCGGAGTGCACAAAGAAAGCGAAGTATTGTATATACTCAGTTCTGGCATTCAGATATTTACCACGTTCGAACTTCGAGGACTCCGACCAAAGACTGGGAGCATCAAGATGGAACCTTAACGTGATCAGTCAGCAAAGTGAGCAATCACGTGCGGAAAGGAGGGGAGTGGGAGTCACGTGCCGTTTGGAAGACGTCAATGAGGCCGGGAAAACTTTAATCCGAAGCTGTCACTGCCTCAGCGCCTGAGGCTCTTTTTCTCTCTCGCAGCGACTCTCCCTCCATCAGAATCACAGACCATTGAAGTGTCTCGTAATTCCGTTCCACGAATTCCTATTCACCCCGATCCCTCTCACTGTGAGTCGGTGACCCAGACCTGTCAGACGGTTTGCCCGAATCATTTCTGTCCATTGTACAGTGAATCTGTTGAGTGGCTTTTGGCGTTGACCTTGGGACGGTACCGACCAGACACGCCCTGAGAGTGATCAGACCCTTCACCCAACCAACCCTCCGAATTTCCTACGATTTGCACTCCAATGTTCTCTTTTTAAAAGTGCCTCGATAACCTCCGATCGGTCTATGACGGGATTTGCTTTCAAGATGTGCGGTGCTATGGATTTCGCTTTCATTTCCGTCGAGCTGCCTTTCGCTTGAGCTTCCGTTGCCGGTGCCCCCAAACTTCACCCTTTCACTCCTTCCTCGTTTGCGGACCACTGCCAGATCTTGTCAGAGCTCTTTGACAGCATTAACATAGCGGTGTCCCCGAGATTCGATTACTTCGCTGGAAGCGTTCAAGAATGGCTTCAAAAGCGGAGGGCAGTAACACCGTCAAGCCCTCATTTGCAAAGGTCAGCCCCAGACGACATTTTGGGTCTCAACGGCCTGGTGAGCTCACTCGTGTCGATGATCAGGTGGCTGCCTCGAATTATAAGCCCACAGGACCCAAGAAGATCGATACCACTATAGCTGCTACTCCGGTCGAGCAGACCGTTGGTCCATCCAATGCTGCCGGAAATCCATCGGTTCCTGCAACTTCGGAGATGCAGACCCCGACCATCGTGACTACAAAACCGCCAGTAGTATCAAAAGCTACGCCGACTGTTGCCTCGAGTGCGACTGCAAAAGGGATCAAGATGCCGCAAGTTGGAGAACGACCGCTTCCTGATGGGATCAAGAACTCCATTGCGGATGACAACAGCACCCAAGTTTCTTCCTCTGGGGGCTCGGCGAAGGTTCCTAGCCTGGATGGAAAAAGCACTACATCTGGTACTACATTCGCCATGGACGAGAAAGAATCCCTTCGACCAGACGACAGTGCAAGCTTGCGAGCCGTGGAGGAAGAGGATGCCTTCTCGCCCGCCGAGTCGGTAAACGCAGAATCACGCAATGGTTCGGATACCGGTGCACAAGCCTTTCGTGATCAGTTACATGAGATTGCTGTTATTGATCCAATGTCAAAGCGTTACCCTGGGGATGTACCAGCTCCTCCTCCGGTCAGTCATCCGGCCGGCAACCCAGGCGATGCTTTCAACAATCCTATGCAGGAGTACTCGCTTCCTGTGAGACCCGACACCAATCCTACGAATGGAATGCCACAACCGGACGAAAAGCTGATCGAAGCACTTCAATCGTACCGAGATCGCGTCTGGGTTCTCAAACTTGAGCAAGACGTCTTAGACTTCATCAAGAATCCGAGGTGAGTACCTACCTTGACTTATAAAAGAGTTCTCTAACACATTCGCAGTGAGCAACAGCTGGACTTGCCTCAGTGTAACTCATTCTATCGGATGCTTGCACATCGAATGGCAGACTATTACATGCTGAGGCATACGCTCGACCCATCCGGGAACGCTGTTCGCATCCATAAGACCGATTTTAATAGACTGTGGGTTTATCCTCCCTAAGGAGTCACAGAAAGTACTAATTCCTCTCCAGTCCGGCTCCTTTGTGCAGCTGGCCTGTCGTCTCTACGATTACACCGCCGCCTAGCCTTCCTGCAAGGACCATAATGCGTCGCAGCGATGATGGCAAAAATACCCCAAACACCGACGCAGCCGGCTCCAAGTCCAACAGCGAGGTTGGAGCCGACGGTACGAGCGAGGGGGGCGACGCCAAATCGAAGGGACAGCTGTCTCGAGAAGAACGCGAAGCGAAATACAAGGAGGCACGCATGCGCATCTTCGGCAGTTCCGAGGAGACGGAGAATGCTGACGGCGAGATCAACCCGGATAATGCCGACATTTCTCGATCCAGTTCCGTGGCCGGAAAGCGGAAGGCTGCGAATAAGAAGCAAAGAAACTATGACAATGACGGGTTTGAAGCCAGGTCTCAGTTCAATCCGTACTACGCCCCTCCTCCCACGTATATGGCGCCCGACAACAACTACTATGCTGGATATCCCGGCATGGGCAACAACACACCGTATCCGCCAAACGGTACCAATGCTATGGCCTCCAACGGATCCTTCCAACCCATGCCGCAATCTCCCACCGGTCTCGGCTGGCAGCAACCGCAGTTCATGGGCCCCCCTCAGAATGTAGGGAGTCCAATGTACACTGCACCGAGTGGGCAAATGTTCGACCTTTCAGCGGATTTCCAACGTGGAATGCAGTCATTCCAGAACTCTGCGAGTTCTCCTCAGATGCCCCCACGATATCCGGTACACAATGGTCCAGCAAAATCGGGGTTCCCCATGCAGCAATATCCCCAGCAATGGCCTCAGTCCCCGGTTATGCCGAACATGCCGAATCCGTCACCCGGGATGGGCAACAATAACATGTCCTTCAACTTCCCTCCGGGCCCGAATATGGGCCATCCTCAACACTCCTATGGCATGCCTCCTGGATCTCCGTATTTCAATGGCAATGGCGCAAGAGTGCAGTCGGCAGGTTATCCGCACAATCGGCAACAGTTCAACCCGCAGAGCCAGTCCTTCAACCCGCAGAGCCAGACGTTCATACCCGGATCTCAAAACCAGATGAACATGGGACCCATGCCCACGCATAACGGACCGATCGGACCCTACCCTCCCAACCGCAACATGACACCGTCCTCGACTCTCAACCACACAACTGCCCACAGCTCCATCACCCCGAACCGCGCACAACCGAACGGCCAGACCCCCCCGTCCACCAACTCTACCGCCACGGCGTCGGCAGGAAACAGCGCGACCAACAGCATGGGATCCCTCACCCACCCACTCCCCCACCCGCCCCCAACCCAGAGCAGCATCTCCAAATGGGGCACCCCCTCCAGCCTCCCGCAGAAACCCCCTCCCCCCGCAACTATGCAGCCGGAGAAATTCATCGAGACCCACCGTGGCACCCCGCCGCACGCCATCCCCGGCATGCCACGGATGCCATCCGCGGCAGGGATGCTCGGGATCGCGCCGATGGCGATGTTTACTGGGAACGGGATGTCGGGTCGGGGGACGGGTCAGAAATAGGTGCGAGATTGCGCGACTGCGTGGGTTCTGAGTCTGGTACAGGGAGGGACATGGACAAGATCGGACGGATCCGATACGAAGTTATGACAATTGCAGGGCACTCGTCGAAAACCTTGTGATCATGGCGAACGGGGAGTTTGCCGGTAGGTGTATGGTCAGTCGGAAACCACGCCATAAACGTGTTTCCACACCCAGAAAACATAGACGCGCTCTTCGACACAGCATCGTCGTCGGCGCGGATTTTCGCGGATTTTCCGGGGCGTTTTGCATAGCTTATGGGCTGGGGCATGCGGTGGGATGGGGCGTTACGGATGGGTGCTTATGCTACGGCTTGATTAGACGGGTAATCATAAATGGGAAAAACTGTCATTGAACGTCTTTGAGGTCTTTTTATTGGTGTCACTAGCTGAGATTTCGCCGTCCTGGTGGTGTGGATCCATACCACTGTAACTAATATCTATGTCCGGACCATCCTCCTATGTTGCTCCATCCACCATCGCGGCACCCGATCCAAGCTCCTTGTAAGATTCGGGTATGCCAACGCCTGCATTTAGCAAAGTTATTTATAGGAATTCCATCGCGCTCGAAACTGCTAACGTGGCGGTTTAATTCTTAAACGCTGCACTAACAAGAGCGCGAGAATGCCGAGGAAAGCTTCCCTGAGTTGTTTCTAGTCCTATTGGTACGACAGACGATGGATGGGCAGGATTAACAGTAAATACGATCACAATGGAAGTATTCAAGAGGGTAGAAAGACTGTATTCAGTTTCGAATCGACGCTGTTCCTTTATTCTATGAACATCAAGGTTTTAATTACATGCGCTTCGATCCCATGCAGCCTCCCAATTGGACCTGCCCACTACATATACATACTCCTGAGCGCCGGTGCAAATGAGGGTATCAATTCCAATTCCATGGGATGGAAAGTGGACAAAAGGAGCCAATCTCGCCGCCCAACACGGAAGTCTTCGACGTAACCCCCGAAATCAGATTCGCTGACTCCCATCCTTGAGTCTCCCTGTGCTTGCACTCTATATAGTTCTTCAGCCGTCATGTAGGGGAAAGGTTTCTCATAACCCCGCTCGGTACAGGCGTCAATAGTGCAGCCATCACTCGTCTAAGAATACCAGCACCGGGCGAAAGTTCCGGTGCGAGCTCGATGAGCTGAGGACGTTTGTTGGAAGCGGTGATCGTGTCTGGATGGCGTACAGCAGGGCCGTAGAAAAAGAAAGGACCCTAGCGTCTTCTGCGAGATCTTCCAGGAGTCGGTAGACGCATGAAAGCCGCGGTATAGGTGACGTGCCATGATAGAGGCCAGTGAGTGCGTGGTAAGAAAACTCCATCTATTCTTTGCGGGCAGCGCCAGTGATTCACCACATATCTTGCGCGGTTTTCCTCCGCGACCTCGTATCCATCGATCCCGGGAACAATTCTCGCCCAGCATTCTTGCTCTTCTGCGGAAAGAGCTCCACTGCCGGGGTGTCTCTGTCTCGTTTCGCGGCACCTTTGAAGCTCACTTCCCCTTGGCCTTTGGCGCTGGTCCCGGCCTGACCTTTGACACTGATCTCACCCTGCCCACGGATCTGATAATCGTCCACCCGCTGGTCGGCAGCAACGCGTTCTTCCAAGGTTTTCCGGATGGTCTTGACCGCAGCCCGATGCTCCGGGCTGATGGGCGGGCCGTCGGAGCTCTGGCCCGTCTCGTCGACGGCGTCTGAGCGTCGGTGATTGGTCGGAGGCGGTCGTGATGGGTTTCGCGAGCGCGGACGCTTCAACGACGGCTCCGAAACCTTCTCGGGAAAGAGCTCGACGCCCGTATTCAAGCGAGCGATGATGTCGTCGGGCATTGGCGGGTCCTCGTCGCGCGATCGCTTCTTGGAACGCGGCGTATCGTACAGAAGCCCCGTAGCGGGACTTCGGCTTCGCCGCTGTCGGGGTTGGTTTCTCGGGTCCTTCTCCGGGTGCAGGAGGTAGTATCTGCTCAGCTCGTGCGCACGCCGCTTCTTGACGTCGCCCGAGTTAGCTTGGCGGATCGTGAGCTCCGCGTCCGGGCGCTTGGAGAGGATCCGGGCGGGGCGCAACTGCGCGGCGTCGAAGCTGTGTGGGTCGATGGAATGGTGGGTGAGCGCCTCGAGGGCCGCACGGGCGTCCTCTTCGGCGAGGAACACGAGATTGGTGGAGGTGTCGTTCAGCCATTCAACCTTGTAGAGGAACTTCGCCGGGAGATACTGGTCGGCGTAGGCATGGATGTCTTCGGTGGAAAGGTCGTCTAGGCCGCGTAGGTGGATTTTCAGAGGAGACGGTGTGAGAGACTCAGCGGACGGCAAGATTGAGGTCGAGGTCGCATGAGTCGGCTGAGGATGGCTGGGGAGAGGAGATTCGGTGGATTCTTCGAACGCGAGTTGTTCGATGGAGGGATCGATGGAGAGGTCGAGGTCGATGTCGACGTCCATCAGCTCTTGCGGATCCGCCATCTTGTTCAATGTTGCGCACTATTCGGAGTCTAATCGGTCGAAGGTGTGAGAACTGCGAGATAGGACGATCGGAGGTGAAGTTCTTGCAGTTTTGGTCTGAGGAGTCCGCCGGTAATTGCGGACCTGATAGCGGGGTGACAACAGTGGATGCCAAGACATGACGGGTGCGAAGCGGCGGAGCGGAATTTGTAGAGCGGAATTCGGAACATGGAGCGGTCAGAGTGACGACCTCTCGAGATGTGATGGGGGACTGATGAACGCGAAGGGAATACGACTTTTGAAATTGAACGTTGAGATATCAGATATGCATATTCTAACTATGATTGTAAAGCCACATCACGCATGAAAATAAGGAAATATATGCCCTTCAGTGGACGTGCAGTCTGGATTCACCGACGGCCGGCGACGGGACCTTCCTGGCAAGGCTGACATATCTGCTTAGTTCATTGAGGATCACCACCCACTCGTCCATTGACATGATCGAGTGGCTTATCAACAATGTCATAGTTCAACCGCAGTGTTGCCTTGGTTGGTTATAGAAATGAGTGTTGAAGGCAACGCCAAGCCAAATGGACACGCAAGAAGGCCTGAGGCCAGCAGCGGCTGGACGAAGCAGCATCGACTCGGATTCCACTGATATATCAGAGCTAGTGATTGAGGAGCCTCCGGAGTCGCATGGCGGATTCCCTCCAAGAGACGGGATTGAGGCGTGGAAATTCCTGTTGGGTTGTTCTATAGTTGAAGCTTTTATCTGGGGTATGATACACCCATCCTCCCCGATCTCTCCGCTCGAACAAGGGACTAATGCGGTGATACCATATTAGCATTTGCCCTATCGTTCGGGATATTCGAGGCCTATTTTGGAACTCACCCGGCATATCAATCATCCTCATATATATCCACCATCGGAACCCTCTCCGTCGGCCTATCTTATCTAGGCCTTCCTCCCATCAACGCCTTAGCGCTCCGTTACCCCCACCGCCAGCGTCAGCTCATGATCCTAGGCTGGCTACTCACCCTGTTCTCTCTTCTCTGCGCCTCCCAGGCCACCAAGGTATGGCACCTGGTGCTCTGGCAAGGTTTCGCGCTCGGCCTCGGCTGGGTCGTCTGCTATGCGCCGTTCCTGATCATGTTGAACGGGTGGTTCGACAAGCGGCGAGGCCTGGCGTACGGTATCGTGTTCGGCGCCTCGGGTCTAAGCGGGATGATTATTCCGTTCTTATTAGAGAAAGGTCTACGGGAACACGGCTATGAAGTCACGCTGCAGTACTTCGTCCTTGCCACCATCATCGTGACCGGTCCAGCATTACTGTTAATCAAGCCTCGAGTAACTTCTCAGAAACGGGAACTGCAGCAGGACGACACTTCGCCATTCCTAGGACGTCCACACCGAAAGCCACAGGACATAAACACCGACAACTCTTACTATGGCTTCTTGCATTCCGTCCCCGCCCTCCTCTTCATGCTCTCCGTTCTTCTCCAAGGCCTCGCCGGCTTCCTCCCGGACATTTTCATCCCTTCTTATTCCGCTGCAATATCCCCACCCGGGAACTACGGAGATCTCCTCCTCGCACTCCGCTCTTTGTTCCAAACCGTTGGACAAATCGGCATCGGCTATGCTTCCGACGTATTCCATCCGCTTCTTCCGCCATTCATCGATGTTGCGGTGTCGACTGTGTCGGTTATCGGAATCTGGGGTCCCGCGAAGTCGACACCAGTGCTCGCCTTGTTTGCTTCTATATGGGGCGCATTTGCTGGGGGTTATAGTGTCGTGTGGTTTCGAGCTGTGGCTCTATTGGCCGAGTCTCGAATTTCGTCAGCAGAGAGGTCAAGACCGGAGGGTTGCTCACCGCAGACAGTGACAATGTACGGATGGTGTAGTTTCCTACGCGGGGTCGCGATGATCGTCGGTGGTTATATAGGAGCTAATTTACTAGGGAAAGAATCCGATGTGGATCTAGAGAAATTCGGACTGGGCAGATGGGATTGGGTGGTGCGGTTTTGTGCGATCGCGCTGTTTGCGAGTACGATTTGCGGGGGCCTGTGCTGGAAGTGGGACATCGTCGCACGACGACGGCGGGCGAATCGATCGGCTCATACACTAGATGACCGGTAGGGTCGCGAGAAGGATCTTGGAGAGGTTGAATTGCATAGGACTTCAATAACGCAAACGAGCGATGAACCACACGCTTCGCGGAACAAATAAACCATCGTTTTTTGCAGTGCGTACCGTCAGCTCTTGAATTCATACCTGTATTGCAAAATTGCTACCCGCCGCCATTCACATCGAACACTGCCCTGCCAATTCTCTCACGTAAAAATAACTGAAGAACCCTTTTCCGTCGCGTCAAATGCATGGTCATTGCATTCGTGGACCAATTTCGCAAGCTTGCCTACACCAGTCAAATCAACCACTACTCCTGCAACACCTCAACCGGTTCCGGAGACAGCGAGCCTGAAGCCGGATCAGCGGTGTGTCCTCATACCAATAGAATGGGAACGACTTACTTCATCAAGTGGTCCATAAACGTCTGTAAACTGACGTCGTCGGTGAAAATTGTTTGAGCGTTTTGCGACACGCCGTACGTGCCGGTCGTATGGGTTGTGGATGGGTTCAGTTTGCTAAGCAGGAACCGTGCCTGAGAGCCGCCAGCATCGCAGACGATGAAACGCGGGAGAGGGAACCGGTCTTGGATGAGTTCCTACGTTGAAATATGTTAGCTCAACGAGTCGTGTGGTGGACAAGCTCCTCCGTACCTTCGCATCTTCTTTGGGGGCTTCCAAGAGCGTTGAGAAATTCTCGTAGCCTTCTTGGTCCTGGTACCCAGCCTTCCGCCATTCCGCCATAGTCTCACCGTGGAAGATGAGGATGTGGAAGAAGGTGTCAAGCAGAAGGACCGTTTCAGGTTGAATAGAGGTACTATCGAGCAACACTGCCTGGCTACCCTCATGGTCGAACCCATAGGAGTCGAGTGTTGGTTGCATCATGATCAATGAGTTGTTGACATCTTCGTGATTGAGAACGTGGCGGTAAAATGCGGTCTCGTCGGGAGAGTTGTTGAAGACTTGCAAGAATTGGGAGCGACGGAGGTGGAACATGAACTGAGGGTACAACGTGAAGTTCTTCTCGAGCCTGCGACAATCAGCGTGGGAAGACAGATCCAAATCAGCGATACATACCTGAATGAAGAAGGATCATCCTTGCGATACTCGGCAAACCTCGAGCAGAGCCGGATAAGCATCCTGTCGACCCATCGAAGCACATCCGGGCCATCGTCAACTTCCGCCTTGAAGACAGCGATACGAGACATCAGGACTGCAGCGGCTTCTTGGTCGAACGATTGGGCGATGGCAGGGTCTCCGGAAGGTCCGCTCAGGTTGCGAGCAACGGTGGTGACACGGAGATGGTACTGTCCCGATGAATGTTGATAGTATGTCAGGAACTGAACCATGCCCTTTTGCGGACCTTGCTGCATCTGGTTGGCGGCGACTTGGCTGGCAATCTCGAAGAAAATCCCGTAGCTTGCTGCCGGGTCGATACCGCACATCTTCCAGGAGCAGGTATTTCCGATACCGCACTCCGTCTCGCCAACAGATGCGGACTTCTTGTTCATCGAAACAGCGTGGCCGATGAGACCTGTGACTTTGAGCTCTTTGGTCGTGATGACTTCGAGCGAGGCATTGAAGCCCATCAACAGGTTGTCGTTCGCGTCTCGATCAAACACACGAGCAAATGATTGCTTGTACATCGAGGAGGTGAAGCTATCCGTAAGGATCATGTGTCCGCCGGTAGAGTTCGCGAGACCCTTCATTTCCAGGAGACCTACTTGGTCTAGACATCCAGCGAAGATGTCAATGATGTGGCCATTGTGGGCGGTTCTCTTGGCAAGGTTGTCGTAGAACTAACCGACATTAGCGAAATCTGAATGAAAATATCGACGGTCTCACCTTGAGAGCTCGCTTGTAGTGCTTGATGTTGTCCCGATCAATGTCGTGATGCGATCGGATGGCCTCACGAAGCTCAGGGCTCACAACCATGCCTGGGCCTTCTGTGCAAGGTCCCCCAGTGAACAACATGACGCGACCACCGGAATTCTGGAAGGAAGACTCCAGCAGGCCAACGGCGACACTCAACGCAACACCGGTGCATCGCAATGCTCGCTTATCGTTGGCAACGGGCCAAGGGTCGCGCTGAAGTTGCTCCAACGCATTGGTCAGCTGGAACTCGCACTGCTGCACGGGGAGCAAGAAGCGAGCCGCCGGGCCCATTGGTGCACGGATTTGTCCAGGTTGCGGTGCTATGTTGGGCCGAGCCATTCCGGGGGTCGCAAGCCCGAGCATCTCTTGGACCTGTTTTGCGCCGTAGTCCTTGCTTCCTCGGAAAACGTAGGATTTCGGGCACTCCGTATAGCCAATCTCGTGCACTTGGGTCATGGTTCCGTATGTAATGAGCCCAACCAGCGCATAGGGAGGCAGGAGTTGCAAGCTCATGATGACGGAGTCCTTGAGCGCCTTCAGGCTATCTTCTTCTTGACAGGTATCTAAGACGAACAGGAAAATCGGAGGGGAAGGAGCCGGCCGGGCAAGGCGGTATTCGATGGTGGTATTCGTAGGATGGAGTTCGGGAGGGATCTGGTCCTGTGAGATGTCTTTGTAGTGAGGAGGCAAGCCGTTTCTTTGCAGGCAAAATGGGCAAATCCATAGTCGCGCTCTCATATCAACCTGGCTATTCTCACAATCAGCATGCGATCCATTTGATGACCCCTAAACTTCCGGATGCATACCAAAATGGGTTGAGAACCGCACGGCAAGGCGCCTTGCATGAGACCGGTTCATACTGTAGCGGTGGAGTCTCCTTTTCTTTGAGGGGAGTATAAAGAGCACCGATGGGGACTTTGCTAATCAGCGCAACTCTTCAGGTTATAGTATTTCGGACATGTCCTACCGACTAATCTCGTAGCTTCCTGCAGGAAGGGTCAGCCAGCTGCATTTCGATATTCAAACAACAATGCTTACTATTCTCGAGCTTGGAAACGTGTTCCAACTTAGCCGGACGCCATCTCTATCTTCAATCTCGCTCCACTGCTCCTTCAAGGCTTCGTAGTCCATCGTGTCCGAGTTTGAGCGCTGTTCTGCAGCTCACAACAGCTCGAACTCTGCCTGTGCCGCGGTCTTTCAGGTGGCCTTTACTCTAGAATAAGGAATTCGATTGCGACGACGAAGCACCACGGTGATCGGCGGGGAATGAGTGGTGTTGGGAAATGCGAGGTGTCAATGTGGAACTTTGGGAATCATATGATTAGGAGGAATCGTTGCTCATCAAATCCAAGGAAGAGCACGACAGGAAGTGCCAGCTATCTTGATGTTTGAACGGTAACGGTATCGGCCACAGTGGAAGTTCCAGGTTGTGGACAGCGAGTGACTAGGTTCCTAATCGGGTTTAGCGCGTCACACTCCCGCCTTTATCTTGACTTCCGCTTCCTCCCAATTTTCTTCTTCTCTCTTAACATTATCGCCAGCACAAATTCCATATTATTATCGACATCCTCCGATCTTTTCTGCGGAGGTTGTTTTCGTGCTGTGCGGAGAGTAATATTACTATCTCATTACTGGGCACCTGGACTGGAAGAGTCATTCCGACTCTTGGGATATTCTGGGAATCAGTAGAGGTACATTTCGACTCTGAGGACTGTGTATTTGCTCTTGAAATCAATACTTCCTTCATATTCAATATCTGTCCGCATCTTGTTAATGATACTGTGGTGACTTCGCGTTATTAAGAGCTTGGTCGGCGCTGCAATGATCGCTTGGCTCGAACCGAGCAGGAGGAACTGAAGCAAGATGGTGGAGTCGACTCCGAAAGGATGATTCATTCTCCCTAAATCCGAAGGGTGTCCACCCATGAACTTGAACTTGAACTCGAACCCAATCCCATCCTGTTTTGTCGCTACATACTGGCCACGCAAGCGAAGGGAAGCTATCCCCTAAGCCACGCCGCTTCTGCCCAGCAGAATCCCTCTTCATCCCCTCTCAACGCTGGCCTTACAAGCGAAGGGAGCCCGCTCCCTAAGCCTGCTCCATAAGCCGAGCCTCTTCTGACCAGCAGAATTCCTTCACCCCTTCACACCTCTCCTCCGACGCACCATTGGGCTGCCGATCTGCGGCCACCGTAGTTCTCCGTACGTCCCCCAGAACCGATGTATGGCGTCCGCCGACCGATCAAACCCGCAGGCCCGCATCTCCCGCCCAATTCCCCTTTAAAGCCTCCCCTCATCCACCACGCCCCGTAGCAGCACCGCCCCGGGCCGCGCCATCCTCATCTTCCTCGCCAACGCGTCCCGCTCCCACCACCCCCACCCCCTCACCCTCTCCCTCCACCTCGTGCATACTGGGCAACAGCATGTGTTGTCCTCCCCTTTGGGCACGGATTGCCCCCCGAATAGGCCACATTTTTGATGGAACCATGTGTCCCCATCGGCAACATGGTGTCGTGGCTTCGGATGGTCACACGCAACCCACCTGACGTCGTGGTATCTGCCATCGCAGGCTACGCACAGCCTGTCGGATTCGTTAAGTAGGTTGACGTGCTCCCTCCGCTTTATGGGCCTGTCCGAGGGCGGCGCGCCTGCAGCAACTTCTTCTTCGTCGTCCTCGTCGTCCTCTCGTCCCCGTTTTTGTCTGCGCGACGTCGGTGACTGCTCGGGGTCGTCACGCCCTGCGTCTCGTCGACTGCGCATTGTTGGGGTTGATGGCGCGGCGCTGTCAGGCTTGCCTGCGACCCTTCCAGATCGTGGTGCGAGAGTAACTCATAGGGGGATCTGGATGTCGCATGTGGTATGCTTTTCCGATTGCCCGCGGTGTTATGCTCGGGTGGATGGCCTTGATCGTACGCCAGGCATCCGGGAGCACGACCCCTGGGAACATATCTTCAATCATGGATTCGTCGTCCTTAGAGATCCAGCCCTCAGGAGTGTCCTCCCTGACACATGGGGATGCTTCGGCGATGCTCTGTCTGGTGTCCAACATGGCGAGCGTGAGAGGGGGAGGAGGGGGTTTGTGATGGCCTGAAAGCCAGGAGGGGAGAAACAATCAACTGACGACTTCGCCGGCGAAGCCCTGTTGATGTGGAAAAGTAAAAGCGGAAACACGGGGAATGCTTGGTGGTCTGAGAGTACGCTTGTTGTGTGTATCTTGAGCTTTTGCTTGTCTAAAGAAAAACCAGGGAAAGGGAGAGGATGATTGCGAAGATATAGGCCTCGACTTCAACAGGTAAGAAACATTGCTCTATTGTGGACTTTGCGCTATTGAATTCCTATCCTATGAACCGTACATCGCTATAGAGTTTCTTATTTAGTTCCGCTATTGTTCATCTATTGTTCTTCAATTGCTTCCTAGTCCTGCTATTGTTGCTCTGATGAATTAATGTAGTACATTACCTGAAGCCATGTGAATTGCTATCAAGGAGGGTCAGTTTATTGAGCTTATTGTTCAGTTCCTCTTAATGGTGGCCTTCATCAACATCACTCATCACTATCCGGGCATTCAATGACTAAGTCTCAAATGACCTGGCACAACAGCAGTTCGCGGTTTAAATCGAACCGAATTCGAATAGAAGGCTAGCGATATCCTGCTTTCCGACGGTCCGGTAAACGGGGAATTGTTCAGTGATTTTTGTTCAGAGATAAATTCTGGCAGTTTCGAGGTTCAAGAATCGATGAGCATGAGCACAAATTCAAGGAAACCTTCAAGAAACTATTCCCAACAGAGACCAACTTTGAATTCCAGCGGCATATATTTGGAATTCAGACGCTCATGAAGCTCAATAAAAGCCATCTCAATATAGATAAGTATCGGACTTCGAATATAATATGCGATATGAAAATGATGCTGACTTCAGCACGAATGACTCTATATTGACGGATTTAGGGTTTCAAGAGGAACCTTCAGCGACAGAAGGGAAAGGACAGATATATATATATTAGATACTGTAGCAAACATACTTAACCTATGATTCCCATGAAAAGGATGCAGTAAACCTGATGATGACAATTGAAACTGTTGTGGCGATGATTGAACTGGTTTGATCCTGTCAGACTCTAATTAGTCCATTTAATCCCTTGGCGGTAGAAATTTTGAGGCCTGAGGCAGTCAGGCTGAACAAGAGCTTTGCAGAATCGCTTGGCAACTGTTTACATCGCGAACTCTCACTCCGTGATCAAGTTTAACACTGGTTGGAGTGGTTAGGTGTTGTTGTCTTCCAGGTCATGAACAAGCAGTTGCTGTTAGTTGATCCGCTTCTTCTCAAATCCATGTTTCCATCCTAGGCTTCTTTTTCCGCTCTGTCCCATCCACCGTCACTATGGCTGACATTCGGGCGATTCCCACGGCTCGACCATATCGAAATTTCCTGACGCCTGCCCTGCATGACCGTTTCGTCAAAGCCGCAACCGTAACATGCGGCGTTTGCCTGCTCATTGGACCTCTGATGTCCCATACAGGCAAGTGGGAAGGTATTCTTTTCCAACCATCGTGCTAATAGCTTGCAGAGAGATCATGGTTTCTCGGTCCGATTCGCGCAATCTTTCGCGCAACGGTATTGTTCATCCCATGCCTCCTATTTTGGATAGCACGACTAGTGAACATGCACTGTAGGTCATGGAAAACGATTGGAAAGGATGTGTGCTCACGTAAATATAGATGGCTCCGAGCTATCAAACTCGCCCTTCCACACCTTTCTACATTACATATCGACAACGAAACGAGTCCAGACATATCTGTGGGTGGTAGCGGCAACCAGACTCTACGCCGAGATATACATGGCGTATGCAGGTTCCGAAGCCCGTTATAGTTGGGTGGAGGTAGGAAAGTACGTTTTATGCAAGCCGCTGGAATTAATGGATACTGATCGCAAAGCAGAGCCTGGGAGAGGAGCAAAGTCAACGAACGATACATCTTCATTGCGTTCATGTTTTCTTGGTTGGGGCTGGCCAAGTCGACATGGCATATCTACTGCGACCGAGACAAGCTGCCCATACCAATTATCAAATACAAACCGCAGTCCGAACCGAAAGATTTGCGACCACCACCCTCTCCAGAGCCCTTTTCCTTCGCAAATCTGCGCGCAGCCGCATCGAAATCCTTACAGTCAGGGCTTTCGGAATCAGGGGTCCAGATGCCTGGGTATTCGGTCTCTGTACGAAAGCATGTGCAAAGCGTGCTTTTGGATTCGCTCAGCATGACTAGTTTTACGGTCCTTAGCGGCACGTTCCTATATGCTACAGTGTTTCGCCAACCGCTGTGGTACATCCAACATCAATGTCTTCATTACTTTTACGGCGTGTTCTACACCCTTCAAAAGCAGTCAACTCCCGGTCCCTATCCAGGCCTCCTTGATCTGGTCGGTCGGTTTACGTACCAAGCGACATTATGCAATATCCTGCTGGAGTGTGCAAGTACAGCCTTCACTGCCTATACCGCACAAGGACCCACAAAGCGACAGAAACTGCTCTCGGAAGACTCGAAGGACCCGAATGGCAGTTTGATCCTCGGTCTGAAGGCACAAAAGGAGATGGTAAGGACAATGGCCTTCTGGGAACTTCTCGACCTCACCAAAACTCATGTGACCCGCCGAGGCACCATTTTCGAAGAAATCGATCGAGTGGGCGGTTCAACATGGAGTCAAATCCTCACTCTATGCTTGAAAGAGATGAGTGACGTCTCAGGGCGGATAGAGGCAACCAAAACACCGGCAGAACCCAAGGAGACGAACGGGACCTCGAAACAGCCGGAGAGGCCGGTGATCAAGACATTACCCCGACTTACTCCGTCCATCAAAACGGACAACATCTTCTCACCGTCGCCCAAATCTAAATCAAGGCAATTGGCCGGCGAGGTGGCCGGTTCATTTATTCACGAACCGCGGAAAACTCCATCAAAATGGCCCCACAATTTCTGGACACTGGTCAAAGAGGCCGTCGGATCGGTCATCCAGCTGCTTTCCGTTATCACCGAGTACATTCTGCGTTGGCCGATCGTCGGACTCCCATTCCGTACCTCGATGTCGCGACGTGCAGCATTCACCCTGCTCTCCCGACCCGAGTCGCCTAATTATCTTCTTTCCTGGATTCCTTTCATTTCTCCTACTCCCTGTACGCTAAGCGATGCGTCGAACATCGCGGATGCCGCGACTACGCTAGCGGGCCTTCTCGAGGCCAGTCTCAGGGAGGATCGAGTGGGACTGGTGCAAAAGGACGTTCAGAGGGTCGTGTCTACCCTGACCAAGACCATCGCGGACATCGAAGCATTTGTCAATGGGATGCGTCCCTGGCCATCTGACGCCGAACTTCTGTTCATAGACGACACGAACTCAGGGGATTGGCTAGCGACTTTGCAGACGACGAAGTACCAGGTCCTTCATGAAGGTGAAGTCGGCGAAGTCGTGCAAGCATTGAAAGCAGCGTTGACAAGTGTCCTCGGCTCCTTCGCGGAATATGCGAGCAGTGTCGGCCTGAGTGAGGCTGCATTGAAGAATGCCAAAGATGTACTGGCGGCTGGTGAAACCAAGCCTCGCAAACCCGCTCGTCTTCCCGTCCCCGATCGAGAACAAAACATCGGACACAGTAGACCAGAGATGGAGCACGTGAACGGCAGGAGGCGCCCAATACCCAAGGCGCCAAGATTCCAACCCTACACCCCGGCCGAGCTTGAAGAACGACGCGCAGCCCGGGAGCCTCCAGCTGTAAAGATCATCCCATACACCGAGCAGGAGCTTGCGGAGAGAGGTGGGCGGCTATGACCTCCGGCCCATATGGTCCACCCTTATTGAATAATTTCGTGCATTGGAGGCATAGCCACGGCGTTTGGATGGTATGTTTCAGATCGGGAAAGCTGGAGTGGCTCTGAAATTGAACATGTACACTATGAGTTCGGATCGGCAGATTTCCGTCTTTCATGTATTGGAATGGGCGGGAAAAATCCTCACATTGGGTATAAATAAGCTATGCTATAAACGAAAGCCTCCAAATAAAATCGTAAGTTCATGAACTCGTTCCACGCATCAGCATCGCTCAATCCTTCAAACAGTCCTCCACGAATCCCACCAAATACGGCACAAATCTCTCCGGATCCTCCCAAAACGGCGCGTGCCCCAACCTCTCCATCCGATGACACTTCCCCCCCCACAGATTCCCCCACGCGCACCCATCCAGATACCCCAGATCCACAAACGGCTCCTCCCCCCCGTTCACCACCGCCGTCAGCCCCGTCCACTCCGCCACCGCCTTCCGCTGATCAATCCCCCGCCCTGCGTTGAACGCGTCGAACATCGTCGCCCGCGCCCGGCCGTCCGTGCGTCGCACCGCGTCGACTAGCCATTCGCGGCGCGGCGGCCCGCACGTCTCATGGCCATACGCTTGGATTTCCTCCTCCGTGAGCTCCGCCTTCCCCGCGGCCGCCATGTGCGGATTCCCGCGCGTGAACGCCCGCACCGTCTGCTCGGCACCGAGCGCCGGGGGCGTGCCGACGAGCATTAGTCCCTTAAGGCGGGGACCGAGGAGCGGGATCAGCTCGATGGCGATGTGACCGCCGAGGGACCAGCCGAAGATGATGAGGTTTTGGACATGGATGCCGGGGTGGTTGAGGACGTCGAGGACGTCGCAGGCGTAGCCGGGCATGGTGTAGGTAGTGGGGTCGGGGGAGTTGGTAGAGGCGCCGTGGCCGGGGAGATCGAGGAGGAGGAGGGAGCAGGGAAGGGGGGAGTGGAGGGTGGAGAGGAGGGGGGCGAAGATGCGGGAGTGGGAGGAGTTGCCGTGGAGGAGGAGGAGTGTGGTGTGGGAGGGGTCTTGGGGAGGGGTGAAGTTGGCGTAGACAGTGATCTCGGCGCGGGAGGATCGTGGTTCAAGGGTAATGGTCCTTTGGAATGGGACGGTTGGTATTGTCCCGCTGATAGAGTCTTTATCCGACATTATGCCTTGCTCTTGCTTTTGATTGACTTTATCTAGTGAGATGGGTGCAAGTGAAGCTATTCACGCTGACTGGTATGTCTTCCAGCACTTCTAATTCCGTTGACTTGGAGTAATGTCAAGAATTCGGAAAATAGAAACTAAGGACTATAGAACTGTTGCCATTGAATGCAGTATTTTCTGAATGAGGGGTTGTTCGACTTCATTTGATATCAAAGCATCGTCAGCACAACAGCATGCACGATGCAGATGCATCAACCAGGCCATAAGGCGGACAGGTGGTCCCAATTTTCGTCATTCCACTGAATCCCTCATGCTTCGACCAATCCCCGGCTCTCGAAAATGAACTTAGACATCAATCTCTAGAATTAATACGATAAGGTTATATTCACAATATGCATATCTGTCGCTGTATGAGCATGATATGCGAACCATAATGATGTTTCTTCATTCTTGTCAACCCCGCTTCCTAGTTATCCCTAAGACAACCCTCAATCATCCCCACTACGCTTCCTCAAATCATGCCTCTTTGACATTCCCGATAACTCCTCCTCCTCCTCCATCACTTCCGCCTGCTCCGCCAACTCCTCCAAATGCCTCTGCGCCGCCTGCGCCTGCTCCTTCGCCTCCAGCGCTGTCGACCTCCGCCCCTTTATCTCCTGCGCCTGCGCCTTCAACTCCCGCGCCGTCGTCTCCCGCCCCTCCAGCTCAGCCACCCACAGCGCCGCGCCGACAGCGTTGGTGAAGGAGAAGAAGATGCCGATGAATGGGAGCAGCTCGAGCAGGACGGCGGGGACGCCGAACGCGGTGTACTGCGGGATGTGCTCGTCGATCCACTTCTCGCGCTGGCGGGCGTTCCAGCCTTTGAGTTGGAAGTAGCGCGCGTGGTGGGTGGGGCCGAGCTTGCGGGCCTGCATGACGATGAAGACGACGGTGCCGACGATGGGGATAAAGTTGAGGGGGAGGTAGAGGAAGTAGCGGAGGAGGGCTTGCGGGGTGAAGTTGGAAAAGGGCTTGGTGAGGAGCTTGCCGAGCTTGCCGACGGGGTCGGAGCTGTTGGTTTTGAGTTCGCGGCCGGGCTTGACGAGCGCGGTCATGTTGCGGGTGAGGAGGGTCTATATGGTATTAGCTAACTTCTTAGGCTCGAAGGTCGCGTAGGTAAATGCCTACTCCATCGAAGGTGTCGATCAAGGCATCGTCGAGGAACCAGGTCCTACTCAGGACCGTTGTGAGAGTCGATGCCTCACTGAGCGTAAGAAGAATGGTGGTCAGCACCGCAAGCGGACCGTTGAAAATCGTGAGAACGGCAGCTTGCGGAAGGTAGAGGAAGATGAAGCAGAAGGCCGTGACGCCGATTCCAAGGCTGATGGTTGGGGTAAGTTTGTCGAGAAGAGGCTTCCAGAGGCTACGGTGGGTCAGGAAATAGAATATGCCCTGCATTTCTGGTCAGTAAAGGCATTCTTATCATATCAGTATATGGGAAGAATCAAAGCCGAAAATCGCATACCCGAATGGGATAGATATATGTGCCGCTCCCCACCGCTTTCTTCGCTTGGTGTTGGACATGCTGAGCCTCTTGGATGGCCGCTTGCTTGACCCGTTCCGACATGGTGATTCAATCAAGAAAATCACGAATTCCAGCGGCTGGTAAGTGATCGGTAGAAAGTTTGTTATGGAATTTTGAGCATATTTGTTATTTGTAGATGGTGATCAGTGTTATGATCTCCAATCCCTGGGATCTGATGGCATGAGACGTCATCGTGATGGACTTTGGGAAGCGGGACCAAACCACACCGAACCTCACCACCACTCTCAGCCTTGTAAACATCACCTCCCTCTGCACTCTAGACAGTCTAAGAAATAGTGGAATATACCACTTCTACGTCTATATAGCGTCAAAACACTTTAAAAATGATCAATAAATGCCTGCGATTCTCATTAAGCGCTTCAATGTCTCGAAGCTCCTTCACGCCATTCAGTTGGTGCCACTGGTTGGTGTCAGATTGTCCCTACACATGCATAAGATATCTGAGGAATATCTGAAACCATCGCGCAATGAAATTTTAAGGACACTAGCGCACCCGTGAACGTATTTCTTAGAATAAGGTCCTCTCGCCTTGCGTATCGCAGGCTTTTGACGACCGGTACGCCTGGGCGGAGCATGAGGATGTCCCTGAACGTGCCTGTGTTAGCATCGCCCACATACTTCCAGACGCTCAACTATGCCCACGTGCATGCCTTTTCCTAGGTAGGACCTCACATATCATGTTCATCTTTCATCTTTCACTTATTCCCTGTGTTTCTCTTACTTCTAATCACATATCGATTGAATCTCTCACTCTGCTATCACCTATCGGTTGAATCTCTCACTCTGCTATCACCTATCGGTTGAATCTCTCACTCTGCTATCACCTATCGGTTGAGTCTCTCACTCTGCTATCACCTATCGGTTGAATCCCTCATTCTTCTATCACAATACAGTGGATCGTTCACACTAAAGCCACTGTTCTTACTGATACTTAGTGGATTCATCAATTATGGACCCAGAAGTCCCTCCTGTCGAAGCCGTTCAAAAGCTGCTCACCTTCTTCACCAAGACCATCACTAACGCTGTTGATAAGGGCGTTCGCGCCAATCAGAAACTGTGTAACAACGAGGTCGCCAATACTCTCAAGGCGCTTACTCATGACTTAATAACATCTGAACGCCAGCAGCGTGAGAGTCCCCAGGGCTCGACCGTTGAACAATCACTGGCGCAACTGAACGATTCTGTGAGAAGGATAGAAACGGAGGTACGGGAGATCCGGCAGATCCGGCAGATCCAGGATTCTATTAAAGATACCCTCTCCAAGGTACCGAACCGGAGTGCACCCGGTGACAATATGGAGAACGAGGAGTGGAATTTTAGCAATGAGGACCTGGATCTTGGTATAAGAACGCCTCACTGATGCTCGCTAGTTGCCCCAGCCCTAACCTACTTTTAGACAACTTCGAATCCCCAGCGCAGAATAAGTCGGCATTTCCATCGGAACAAGTCGAAGCCGGGCATCGCTCCAGCCCGACCAGTGTACTTGACCGCAGTAAATCTCTGCCCCGCGATAGCTCCACGTCTCTACCGGAGAACGACCTTGAATTAGGACGTCGACCCAGCCGCAAGGCAAAAGAGGGGAAAACTTATCACAACCTGTACCTGTCCCGGGAGTTCAACAAATCTCTGAACGGGCGGATCATCAAGAACGGCGCGCGAAAGAGCGTCGGGTCAGCCAGGGTGAAAGACCCGAGCAGCTCGACGCAAAAGAAGGACGACGGATCCACGAAACCCCTCATGACGAGCCCGGAGATCTTCGTGACGCCGAGGAAGTCCAGTCCCCAGCCTCAGCGATTGAACTCGACCAAACGCACGCGCACGCGCACGCCCGACAGCATGGCGTCGGAGGATATGATCTCACCGGGCCCGAAGTTGAAGGAGAAGAAGCGGAGGCGAACGGACTCGGGTGAGAGGAAGGGGCTCCTGAGTGAATTCCAGGGCGTGTCTAGTGGACTGTGAATGAGAGACGTGTGTGCCCGGGACATTACTCGGGAGTCCCCTTATGAAGGGTCGAGGCAGGGGAAATGGGACGGTCTGGGATTGTGGTGTAGAGTAGTGTATTGTTATGGCCATGATAGGCAGCTTCGTGGAGGAGACCTGAGATTCACGAAGGTCATTCTGAACTTTGTATCATCGTCGTCTCAACTGGTCGAGCTGGCCATGGGATGGGAGACAGACGCCAGGGAGTCCCGATGACAGAGTTCTGGACTGAGTCTGTACGCAATTATCTGGTGTCATTGGTCAATTGCTGGTCAAGGTTTGGGCCCTAAGGCTTGGAGATCCGTGAAACCAATAGAGTCCTGGTCGTGATTGGTCAATAACATCCGGACCGGTCCTTCCTTCCACCCACTAACTGATATCGTTCCAGAAACTGTATTGTACTTGCCATGAATGTAATGTTATCCATCCATCTTCTGTATAACTGTTAGCCCTGATGCGATATGACACGCCTCGTCGTGGGAAGCGCCCGAAAATGCAGGAGGAGAGCCAAGTCTCAGACCGAGACGGTTTGGGGGCGTTTTCCCAGCTGGAGAGGCGCCGGACAGGGGCCCAATCCGCTCTAGCGCACGGCATGCTGAGTTGGCAGCCGAACGGGATGAGCGAGCAGCTTCATCCTGCGTCCAGCGCAAAAGGGCAACCTGCCTCTTGATTTCGTGTCGCATATGCCATTGACCCGTCGACGTTGCCGCTGGAGCATCATCGTGCGTATCGGCACACCGTGCGGTCATTTTCGCCGCTTTCTTCCCGTTCTCTCTGCTAGACGGTCGCTGCACGCGACCCCGGAACGTCCTCCGACATCCTCCTCTGCGACGCGCCTTTCGTGGATAATGTACAGGACATGCCGTCATTTGGCTTCGAGAATCTCCTGCTCCTCCGCATCTGCTCCATCTGCTCTAGCTGACGGTCGCCGATTCCTGCATTATTTCGCGTGTGGCGGTGCGAGCGTCGACCCTGCAGGCCTCGCCAACATCTAGCAGCACGAGCGAGTGGTGAAGCTCCAGTTCTGCGGTTGGGAAACGAGGATCACGACAGTCCAACCCGTCGCAAACCTCCGCAAATCGATTGCGCACTGGAAATTTCGCGCGTACAGAACACCAATCGTTCACTTCATGACCAGACCGACCTCAAACCACGGTTTGCGAATCAATTGTGCGTTGTCCTCTCCTTAAAGCTCCACCTTAAAGCCATTCCCAGCCTCCTCAAAATCCCCAATTGCACCCCTGGTTCCTACTCCTCTGCACTACGCCCCTACAGCCACGACAATAATTTCCCCAACCACCTCAAGATCTCGCCGCGCTGGATTTTGATCGACCACGCCATGGATCGACTCTGTTTGTTTTTGCTATTCACTAACACTATCTCTCCAGGCATTTCCTCATTCCCTGTCTCTCACGTTCCATCGTTGTACATGCCCTCCCATCCTAGATTCCTCTCGACATAGCGTCATTGAGGTCACACTGAAGGCTCGACCGAATTTTCCACCCCATTGCTAGGTTCGCGGTCACATTGTCATCTCCGCGAGCCGCCGAATTCCTCACGTTGTTCAGCCCAACTTCCCGAGCTGTTCACGAGACCAACGACCGACACGTTTACGATCCCAACCCTCCCCATCAACGCCAGCAGGCAGGCCAATCTGCCCTCTCCCCGAACCACCGACACTCTCGAGTATCCAGCTCCTCCGGTAGCGTTTCTGTCGCCCTCCGTGGAACTCCCGCCCCCGAAGAGCGCCACAACCCTCGCCCTCGTTCGGTTTCCGTGAGCTCTCCTCCACTGCAAGCTCCTCCACCTCGAGCTCCTCCCACCGTCCGATTCGCGGATCCGGCGTCGAGCTCCGAACCTGGCCAGTGGGCTCTTCCCTCGGAAGCACGTCCGCGCCAGGTTCCTCGCACCTCCCGTCGCACCGCGTCGGCGATCCGGTGGGCTCTCGAAGTCGCGCTCCGTGGCCCACATCCTTTCACGTCGGTGGTTGAAGAGGAGGAAGCTTCCATGTCCGACATTCTTGCCGGTTCCGCAGGCAATGTTGGCCGAACTTCGAACGGCGGCCAACGGTCGTCTGCAGGGCACGGGCCTGTTCCGGTGCAAGGTGCGAGAGAACGAGGCCAATCCATGCCCGTGCCGCAGGCACAGCGGGATCGTGGAATCACACCGCCGACGGAGATAATGCGGAGAAGGCAGGAACGCGAACGACAAAAAGTAGGGGCCGGGCAAGGCGGACTTGCTGCTGGCGTTGCTCAAGGTCAGTCTCCAACACCCGGACATGGCCCTGGAAAGGGCTCAGGCTTATATTCACCAGGACAAGGTGATAGAACCCGAATAGATCCTGCACTCCTGCCACAATCAGGACGGCGAGAGGAGGGATTTGTGGCCGCAGCTGCAGCCGCCTCTGCCCTAGGAAGAGAAGAAAGACCAGACCCATTGCACGTTCCCTCGGCTGTGGAGGACCGTCCTCCACCAGCTAGACAACGTCGCTCCTCACAACCGCAAACCTCCACACAACCACTTCCACATCAGCCTCCACCCCCGCAACAGACAACCCCATCAGCAGCCGCTCAGCCTCGTATCCCTCGATATCCAGGAGGTGCCGAAGTACCCCAATCAATACCCACTCCGGCTAGCCGGCTGAGAGACCCGAATGTCTCAACATTCCCCCATGCCTTTGAAAGATGGGAGCAGCTCTCCTCTCAATGGGAAGGGCAGACGCGATACTGGATCCGACGGCTGGAGAACAATTCCGACGAGCTGCGAAACGAGCCTCTCAATGTGGGGATCGCGCGGCAGATGCAGGATCTTACCGCTGCCGGTGCGAACTTATTCCACGCGGTGGTCGAGCTCCAACGACTGCGCGCCAGCTCCGAACGGAAATTCCAACGCTGGTTCACAGACGTTCGGGGCGAGTTGGAGCGGAACGAGGAAGTTCAAGCGCAGCAGCAGGTTGCGTTGGACCGCGAGCGTCGAGCTCGCCAGGAGCAAAACGCCATCGCTGCACGAGCGGAGGAGCAACGAGCCAACGTGGACAAAATGAATGGGGAGCTCAAACGGGAGCTCAACATTGCCAAGGAGGAAGCGCGTCGGGCATGGGAAGAGCTCGGAAGGCGGGAGCAGGAAGAACGGGACCGGTGCAGCGAGATACGCGAAGGGCGGCCGGTCAACATCTGCGGCATCCAGATCTTCCCGACCAGTCAGATCATGCGGCAAGCGAGCCTTCGACGGGGCCAGGAAGGCGACGACTACTCGATGGACCCAGGCCAGGAATACATGGAAGCCGAATACGTGTACAACGAAGGGGCCTCACCCACCGACACCGACCCGTTCGTGGAAGCCGGAAAACGACCGGCCCCACCGCCAGGGACCTTTTCCGCCGGCGTCTATCAACCGCAGGGCATCCAACCCTACGCGCCCGGCAGCACCCCCGCGTCCGGATCCACCTCTCAAACCATCGTCCCCGCTCCGCAACCCCCTCCTCCCAGCTCCACTACCTCCCCTCCCACCGGCGCGACTTCCACCTCCTCCCAACCACCCTTCTACACCCACCGCGACACCTACCCCACCACAGGCGCCTCCTCCGCCCCCTCCGACGTCCCTTCCTATATTGGCACCACCTCCGACGACCTTTCCGATGCCTCCGACGGCGGCGACCGCCACGACGAACCCACCGCTGATGACTATCTTTACGACGAGCACGGCCGCCTCCTCGTCGACGCCCACGGCCGCCCCCTCCCCGACCGCCGCGGCCTGCGCGTCAGCACCGTCTCCGACGACCTCTCCGACGATGACGAGGATGACGTGCTTCGCGACGCGCAGCGTGAGCATGCACATCGCGCTCGCTACGGTAGCAGTGGGGCCGTACCCGGTAATTCCGGCGAACTCGCAGTGCCGACGACGCAGGGGTACGCGACGGCGCCGCCCAGCGCGTATGGGCGGCAGGCTGGCGGAGGCGCGCAGCAACAACAGCAGGCGGAGCAGCCGGATTATGAGGGGAGCGGGTATGAAGGGTGGGAGCGGGTGCAGCATCATTATCCGACGCGGTTGAGCGATGTGCCGGAGGAGGAGGACGAGCGGAGTCGGGCGAGTGGGCCGCGGAGTCTGGATATTTGAGATCGAGGGATGGAGGGAGGGAGAAGACGAATATTTGTTTTGATGGGTTGAGGGCGTGGGTGGAGGAGAGAATACATTGCGCGAACTAACTTTACATGGGATGGGATGACGAGGTTTTTCGTGTCCCGTTTACCAGAGCATCTTTGTCATTTTTCTTCTTTTCCCCTTCCGCGTCGGTCGACCGGTGTCAACACTTCTCCCTCCCTACCCGCTTCTTGTGATCGATCCCTCTCCTTCGACGCGACATATTTCCACCCCTCTATTTTTTTTTCTCTTGTCACTGGCGGGTTTCGTTCCATCAGCACCTTCTCGCATTCCGCACAGCCCATGGCGTTTCGTGGGTTTGCGTTGTCGTATCCAGGGTGAGCGGGAGGGACGGCGAGCATCGTGACATTTTCCCTCTCTTCCCATTCCTCGATCTTTTCCGAAGGGAGGTTTTTGAAGTGCGACGGAAGGACCATGTAATACGTGTAATTTGTGTATGTGTCGAACGCGCCGGGACGGATGGGATGGGCACGGGGTTTAATCGCAGTGTCGACGTCGTCACTGCTCGCGACATACATGACGGAGGGGATTCCTTCTGGGTACTACACAGTACCACCAGTTTCGGAAGGAGGCCGACGGTACTACAGGAGGCATCTCGGTGCCACTTCACGGTGTATCATAGCTACAGAGGACAGTACCTACCGTACATTACCGTACAGGACCATCCATCCTTTGTCGGTGGAACGGCAAAGGCATTTCGAAAACCTGATATTCCTCGAAGTCACAATAGTCCCAAGTTCAGGATCCAGCCACGCAAATGGTGTGACCGCACGGCCAGCGCCGTAATCTAACGCCCATGAAATCCGGGAATATCAGGCTCGCCACAGACAAGCCGCGCTTCAATCCCTCGTGAGTCGTGACAAGTCATGGGCAAGTCGTGGCGCGGTCACGCCAACGTCACACGAACCCAAATCCTTGGCCTCATGGCCTGAGGCTGCATCCTGGAAAATGGCGGGCGCTGATTGGTTCCGATCGGTCAGCGTCCGCTCCACGCTCACCCCACGGCAGGGCGAGCGTCAGTCGAGATATATCGCGAAAACCACACGGCGGCAGGGCGTGCGGATCCGAGGGGTCAGGTTCTGTTTTCGGTAGTGATGAAGGGTTGTTTAAATAGCAGCTGTCAAGTATGCGTAGTTGGGTTCGCTTTTATTATCATAGCACTTTAGCAAGCCATCGTGAACCAATCCACGCCGAACTCTACCGTCACCAGATCAAAAGCTCAATTATCGCGAAAAAAGCGATATCATAGTCGTAGGATTATCCTCTCGCATATTACAATGCCGGCCCTTCCAATCCATCAAATCAACCAAGCCGTCCACAAGGCACCCAAATCCTTCGCTCCATGGCTCCTCCTCTTCATCGGCAAGCAGTCCACTCCACTCACCCCTACCCCTGAACGGGACCAGTCCTTCGACGATGAATGAACGAGTGAATGCTAATAGATACTACAGGGAGCGGCGCCGTCTACACCGCGTACAACCTCAAAACCGAGATGAAGTCCCTCGACGGCGCACGGGAGCGCCTCTACGCACGGAAAACGCAGCGGGAAATGGAGTTGCGGAGGATGGGCGGCGTCGACCTTGAGGAGGTACAATAAACGAACACCTGGAATCGTTGCTTCGAAAATCATGAAAGGAGCGTGTAGACCGAGGTTGGAGTTAACTTGGCGTTTATTCCCTGGCGTTTATTTTTTGAAACGGCAAAACACCGAGGACCATATCTCACAGTCAACGGGGACCGGTTCATTTCATACTCGGCGCCTTCCCGGACGGATCATCTTTGATCGTCACATACCCCTCCTGTTCCCTCACCCGCTGCAACCACGCCTTCACATTCCCCCCGACCGCAAACCCCACCAGCTCCGCGAACTGGGTATACGCGAACAGCGCGATGTCCGCGATCGTGTACATCTCCTCGACGAAGAACGTCTTCCCCTCCAGATGCGCCTCCATGGTGTCCAACGCGGCCTGCCCCCGCGTCTGTAGCCGCTCGCGCGTCTCAGCGCTCACGTTCTCCAGGCCGATCCAGTGGGTCGCGAACCGGAGCCCGGCGACGTACTGCTCGTGGCTGAACTGCTCGAAGAACATCCAGCGCAGCACCTGAGTGACGCCGAGGTGGGTTGAGGGGAGGTAGGGCGTGTCTTTGGCAAGGTAGTAGAGGATGGCGCTGCTTTCGGGGAGGACGGTGTGGGTAGCGTCGTCGAGGATGATGAGGGGGATGCGGCCGTTGGGGTTGAGTGCGAGATAGGCGGGGAGGCGAGTCTCGGCGGGGGTAGTGAGGAGGTCAAGGTCGGTGGTGTGGTAGGGGAGGCGGAGGTGGGAGAGGAGGAGGTGGACTTTGTAGCCGTTACCTGAGGGGATATTGGAGTCGTAGAGATGGAGCATGGTGGCTTGCGGGATTCGGGATTCAGGGGATAGCTCGCAGGAAAGGACAAAGCTGTCGATTGAACAACAGACGGACTCAAATTGGAATTGGAACGGTTGGATATCTAGTACTCGGATGAAAGAGAGAAATGGAAATGGAGGTCTCGCGGTCGGAGAGCCGATCGCGTTGTACTTGTCTATGCCGCCAGGCCTGCCACGCCCTAGAGTAAGAGTACCTATCATGGCATTTCGAATTGTCCTATTCCATGTAAACCCTGACTTAGCATGTAGTAGGTAGTATGTAAGTAGTAGGTGCAACTGTCCAACACCACAACAACCCACTGTTCTGTCAGCGCTAGATCCTACAGTGCATTTTATTCCTATTTTCGTGAGACAGGTAACTATGTAGTAGAGTCTATTAGAGACTAACTGGAGAGGTTTTGCAACCTCGAAAACCATTTTACAACTCGATTTACAACTCCACAGAAAAAGCGGTTAATATCTCTATATACGGTTAGCGTATAAACCGAAATTTAAGCCTGAGGCAACAAGGCAACAAAAAGTTGTAAAAATTAATTTTAAGGCATCAACATTGTGGCTAAAGGCATCAAAATCTTTAGTTCCGGCCAATCAAACTTCACAAAAGTTTGTTAGCGCATTTACAACTGTGGATCATCAAAATTTACACCGTAAACTCCATTAGGACTGTGATGGATCAGAGGTCTGCAGACCTCTGAATTCAGGGCATAACTAACGCCTCGCACACTTTAGATAGATTCCTCCTTCATAGCAACAATTCAATGTTTGCCTCACGATTGGAGATTCCCTACAGTGAGACCCTTACAAAGATGCTGCGACACTGATCTCTCTCACTGGTTAATCAATAATAGGAATTCAGATCCTTTCAGTTCACAGCCGACATAAGCACCACCTTGATACTCCGTATGCCATTATCTCATTCGCAGTACTTCCTTAGCATTATCACTCTGTTCATTTAAAATGTTCTAAAAGTTAGGCCAATGATGGCACCTCTTCTACGGTGGAAAAGCGCATCGGATCGACTTCAAAGACCGCCATGCAACAGTATCAGTACCAGTGAAAGTATTTCCAAAGTACCCGCAGAGTGCGATGATATCTATTCAAAATATTAAATACCGTACCTACGTACAGGATTTTTATTTTTTCGTGGTATGTAGCCCCGATAAATGCTAAACACGAAAATATTGTGTACCTCTTGACAATACGATTCGAACCCCTGGTGCTGCCAGCTCAAGCCTCGTGTAGTTCACCGGAGAGGGGCTGCGACCAATATGTTCACAACATCGTCAATTGCAGGACCAGTTTTGCTTGAGAAAACTGGCAAGTCGAGGGTGGACGGAATGGACAAGAGATTGCCAGCCTTGCGAGACAGTTAAAGAGCATGGAAGACCCGTCATTGACAAATCAGGTTTGCTGGATTTCAATGACCGCCTCGCCCCGTTTCGTTTCGAGACTCTGTTGTCGATAGGGTCCCCTTTACCGTGATTGTCGGTATCACTTCGTTCATTTCATGTTAAGGATGGAATCAATGCAAGGGGAGACTGGAATCCCTTGCCGCATTGGGTGAAGATAGGTCGGCATATCTAGGAAGAAGGTCCTCTCGCCATACGCAGAAGCCAATGTCTCGTGCTCACATTCTTGCGGAAGATTTTCAAATACATGCCCTTCGAAGGAGAGAAGAGTATCCGATTGCTCGAGATCGTTCACGATGACGGAAAGCCATTGACAAGGTACCGAGCCTGCTCTCCTCGCGACAGACAGTTCGAGGCGAGATCTCACGCTTGGGTAGGAAATTCAACTCTACCATGCGGCGGGCATCCCGATTTATACTGCGTGTTCATACACATAGTAATGCTTTTTGAGGGCCATCGAATTCGACATACCTCACTACCAAATTCGGAAACGGTGGATATCCAAATCGACGATCACGCGTGCAAAATATTCGAGAACTAGCCACGACGTTGGACAATGTAGTGCCCAAGGCTCTCGAAACCGCCCAATTCATCTGGGTCGATCAGATCTGCACATGTTTCAAGCGTTCCAGTATCAAGCACCTTAGAAATCCAAGGTCTTTAATCCTTCATCTTGAGGAGCCAGATCAGGATCCCGTTAAAAGCAAAGAAAATATTTTGCCGATACGTGAGTGACCGGTTTGTTTTAGTCATGTGAATATGCGACAGTCATGGCCTAGCTACTGCCAGAATGGGCTGCAGTGGATGACTTCACTTCACTTGATATACCAACTAGGCTTCCAGTTCATATCTTAGCTTCTTGAATCTATCTTTGACCGTTCTGCAATTTTTCTTCACCGCCAATACTACCGCGACCGTTTCTCCAAATGGCCACTCCTCCCCGATGTTAAGCTTCCTTGCACTTGAATACCTAATCCTCCCCTACACTAGTAAGAAGAATCCCTCTATTACCACAAAAGCGCCCCGACTCCTCTGCACATATCCTCCGTGTCTAAGATAGGTCTCCTCGAAAGCTGTCCGGGGAACGCGTGATACTGCTCAGGGAAGACGCGAGTTGGACATCTCCTTCCGGCCAACCCGAGGTGTCAGCCAGACATAGCATGGTTTGTGACATGGATCCAAATCCTTACCTATGATGTTGGGAGCTAACAAAATCTTGTCTATCTTCATAGTACGAGGGGAACACATTCCTCTGAGATGGCGATAGAGAGGATTTGGGAAGTACAGGCACATAATACTCAGTAAAGGATCAAAACGTGCTCTGGGACTCTTCCTCCAGTGGCCTGGGCCGTGCTATAGTCTGTTTCAGATCCTAAAATAGCCTGTCAGAGCGCAATAATAACCACAAGGCCGCGGAGGTAATGGAGCGTGAAATTTGGGATGCATACTAGTCATGAACCTGGGAGAAGTCGAGGACTTCGCAGTAAGAGTCCAGCATCTGAGGAGCGAGGTTTTACTCTGCCATCCTCATGTAACAAAATATGCAATTCACTGGTTCTATTTTACAAGAGGCTGTTAAGTCGTAACGTTACTGACTTACTTTCCGGAAAAGTAAGCATTCGGTACAATTCTGTGTGACTTTTAACTCTTGTCTGCATGTATATAATTTCCTAGATACATTCGGACTAGGATGTCCTGACTGTCTTGGTTTCCGAATACGGTAATAACATAACGTCGCAAAATCCCATCGCAATTGTTAAGCGGCTTGGCAAGTCACGGCATTCTATGTAAGTAAGGAGTAAATGTGGTCCTTTTCACTAGTTACCTGGAAAATAGAACTCAACAAAGTCAAGCAGCCTATTGAAGTCTCCTCCATTCAACCATTTGATATCTCCCCCAGTTTGCCTCTTCGTACCTTCGTACCTTCGTATTCGCCGACAACCGACGCATACTTGGGTTTGGGGCCACAGTTTTGCAAGCCATTGCATCCGCTATCGCATGTATCTAACAACACCTCCCGTTTGTCAGGTCCTAAGTCGGCCAATGCGTAACATAGTAAGAATGCTAAAGGTCTTAGCTATTGGCTAAATCCCTAGATATTTTCGAAAACCTGGATTCCATAATCTGTACGTGCAAACCTTACAGTGGCATCCATACCGATATCTATGCTTCCCGCCCCGTCGTAGTTACAACGAGTTCAATTTTTGCCAGGTAAATGCTTGGGATAAATGGGAACATTTCTGAGAATGGAAGGTCAACTGTAATCCCTTCTCTGAGACTCCGGGGATGCAAATATGTACTGATTTAGAGTTTGAGGAAGCCTCGGTCAATCGAAACATCGTATCTCAATGTCTTCATGAGTCGTGCGTCGAGAGGATAGCCCCTTGGATGGGTGAAGCAAGCAATATAAAAAGCCGAAGCCTCTTGAAAATGATTGAAAGTCAATAGAGTCGGACTACAACGCCATCAAGACTTGAAACTAGCCGTCCAGTTTCCATTAGCTATTCTCCTCTTCATAGTTACTAGTTAGTATGCGGTTCTCCCTCGCTCTTTTGGCAATTCGCCTCTCCCTCGCTGCTCCTGCGCCGCAGCAGTCACCACCAGTGCCCGCTGGAGACGGGAAAAACTATATCGTTACACTGAAGCCTGGAAACTCCGTCGAAGGGGTCAGCTTCGATATAGTCAATCCTCTTTACACCTACAACTTTGAAAAGTTCCAAGGAATTGTAGCGCCATTGACTGCTGATGAAGCAGCAAAGATATCCGCAGACCCTCGAGTAAGCAGTATCGCCTTCTTGAGACCACTGTAGACGTCTAACCCACCTATTAAAGGTTGCCAGTGTTCACCTCGGGGGTGAGGTCGAGGATCCGTTTGTCGGCATACCCCTGGTGGTGCCTGAATCTAAGGAGAACCGGGAATTTCGCGAAAGCGTTTCTTCTCAAGTCTCCTCTGGAGAGATTGGTTTAGCACCCATCGTGCAGGTCGACGCTCCTTGGGGCCTTGCTCGAATCAGTAGTAGAGAAACTGGCGGTACTGATTACACTTACGATTCCTCTGGCGGGGAGGGAACATGCACATATATTGTTGATTCCGGTATTCAGGCAAGTCACGAAGACTTTGGCGGCAGAGCCACATTGCTTGCCGATATCTCTCCCGAGCCTGGCAGTGGCGGAGTAGATACACAGGGCCACGGTACCCATTGCGCTGGTACTACTGGTGGCACCGTCTACGGTGTTGCGAAAGAGACTCGCATTTTCGGTATCAAGTTCTGCTATGAACTTGGTTGTCCAGGAGCTTCTTTACCGGCTGGCATTCAGGAGGCCATCAACCATTATCAAGCCAATCGAGATTCACTCTGTCGGAATGGAGGTGTCGTCAGTTTGTCCCTCGGCATTTCCAATTACGGCTGGGAGGAAGAATACGGATACAATAATCCCGAGTTCGATGCAGTCAATGCCGCTGTAGAGCAAGGCTACAATGCTGGTAAGTAAAGGAGACCACGGTACCAAACCAACTAACCTTGGGTATAGGATTATTCATTGCCGCCGCTGCAGGTAATGCGAACCTTTCCGCGGAGTACTTCGGTCCAGCCGCATCACCGTACGCATGCACGGTGTCAGCATCGGATATTCAAGATGTGAGGCCAGTTTGGGCGAACTGGGGTCCACCCGTCGATGTTTTCGCGCCTGGTGTCCAGGTTTTGTCTACTTGGATTGGGCCCAATAATAACGAAACCGTGAGTTCTTCTGCGACATATAGCTGCATATGCTATGATTCCTTTGGTGCTGACAATCGAACTATAGGCAATTTTCGATGGAACATCAATGGCCACTCCTCACATCGCCGGTTTGGCCGCGTATCTCCTTGGGATAACCCCTGGGTTGGCTCCAGGAGCACTTTGTGAAAGGATCAAGTCGCTTGCGACAAAGGATGTTGTCGAATTGGGCGATATTGACCGATTTCCCACCACAAGGGATGTCGCTTACAATGGTAAGATCATCAAGTCCTTGACATTCGGGGACACAATTCGGCTGACATGATTCTGTTGAACAGGATTGGAGCAAGAATAGAGAGATATGAATACCATAGACAGCCATTCCCATCCACATCCGTTTTCATTTCCAATAAAAACGAAGTCAACGGCAGTAAAGGGAATCTTACCTAAGGACGAAAAATAAACCTTTAGTAGTCTGGATTGATGTGGCAGCCCTTTTCATAGTTGTACTCTCTTGTTAGGCATGGTCTAAACCTGGAGAGGTCAGTGGACATGCTCAGATATGGATACCATAAATCATGTAGCCAGTACCATAGCACAAATCAAAAGGCTTTGTGGAACCCTCGATTCGAGTTAGCGAATATTAACTTGGCCTGGTCTGCCATAAGCTCGACCTGGGAAACTCTCTCGACTCTCACGCAGTGGATCGATCGAGTATGCATCTAACGTATCGATATTGGAGTAAGTGCCGCAGAAAGCTGAGGATTGAACCTCAAGTTTGTGAGGATTTGGCTCTGGACAACGGAAATATTTTGATTCGCACAGGTTTAGTAGCACTTATTAGTACCACTTCAATATCTCCCAAGGGAAACGGAAATATTCAGTCCACAAGGTTTTTTAGCATTCTATTAATTGTATAGATAACTAAGTTATAGATTCTTCCTTTAATACTTCTAGATAAGGTAGCTGATGATCGTGACCGTCCTTGCCAATTACTTCCCTCCCGAACTCACCGGAAGCACCCCATCCAAATCATCACTCAAGAAAGTATCACCCCAAGACTGAAACAGACTCCCCTTTCTACTTGGCCATCATGGTCATTCTAAGAGGGAACAACTTTCCCCGTGGGCCAACATCTGCTCCCAACCCTAGGGCATGGGACGGCTCCGGTTATGCAAGATTGGGGCGGGATATATGTTGGCAGCGCGGGTAGTCACATTAGGTACTGTTGTTCGGCACAGTCGAGCCATTTCGTCCGCTTATTTGGCACTGTCCGGCCGTACAACCGTAACTCCCGCCTCCTCATCGTCTGTTTGAACGCTTGGCAAATCCTGCTTTTCCTCGACCCTCTTCAGCCCCTTATCCCTGATGAATACCATCAACGCTAAACAGCACCCCATCGCGCCCGCCCACAAATAGAACACAGATCTCGCTGCCGCAACATAGGCGTTGAGAACATGAATCTTCTGGTCTTCTGGGAGGCCAGATATGTCCGGCATTTCGAACACGGACTGCTTAATACTCTCAGCCATGTCCACCGGGATGCTCATGGGGATGTTCGACACCAGCGTGCTGGAGAAGATGGCCGATGCGATGGCCAGCCCGGCTGAGCCGCCGAGCGCGCGGATGAAGTTCCTCGCACTGATGACGATTGCCCGATCCTCCTTTGGACTATGGGCCTGTGCGGCCACCAAAGCTGTTTGAGATTAGCCGTCCGTTCAAGAGCACCACCCGTGGCTTGTGGCTGACTTACTCGGTTGGAAGACCAGCCCGACTCCAACACCCTCTATGACGAGGATGAAGACGATGGCGACGACTGGCAAGGTGCGGTTGAACAGGCAGTGCAACCCAGTGGCTATGGTCCAGCAAATGTAGCCCAGCCATATGACCTCGCCGTATCTATTCATGCGTGAGATGTACTGGCCAGAGAGTGCAGAGGCAATGGCCTGCGGTATGACGATTGGGATGAGAAGAGCTGCCGATGTGAGCAGGCCCATCTGTCGAGCGCTCTGGTAGTATATTGGCAAGTAGTAGAGCACACTGTAGAAGACGATGCCGATGAGGAAGTTCTGGGTAAGCATTGCTGCCAGGGCTTTGTTCTTCCAGAGCCTTACTTGACCTTATCAGCGCAGCCTCATGGTATCGTATTATTGGCACTCACGAGGAAACATGGGCAGTCGGGCAAACTTCCACTCATTCACGACGAACATCGCCAGTAACAGCGAGCCGATTGTCAGCATGGAGATGACCATTGGACTTGACGTCTGAAACTGCGTCCCAATCCCAGAAATTGGAATCAGAAGCACAATAGTGCCACCTGAACTCAACAGGATCCCCGCCCAGTCGATCTTCTTTAGCTTCGTCAAAACCGGCTCCGGGGGAATGGTCTGAGGTGGCAGCAGGAAGTACAGGAGCACAGCTACTAGGATGGCCAGTGGCGCGATGAACCAGAAGGTTGCTCGCCATGTAGAATTTCGAGTGAAAGCTGCCGCGACGAAGGGGCCGATAGTGTTACCTAGCCCAACACAGGAGCCGAGAATGCCCTGGTATCTTCATGCACACTCAGTTAGTACGGTACGCTGGAGAAATCATATAGGCATACTGACTTTCCACGTTGTTCCAGTGTCGTAACATCAGACACAATCATCATGACCAACGCCATAATACCCCCGTTGGCAAGACCCGAAATACCCCTGAAGGCATACAGCTGTACCCCCGTCTGGGCAAACCCGCATAGCAGGTCGCCGAGCCCCAACAAACAAAGACATGAGATGAGGATGACCTTCCTACCCAGAATGTCCGACGCCCGGCCATAGAGCACCTGGAATGCCGTGTTGGCGATGAGAGACGATGTTCCGGCCCAGACGATGGTCGAAGAACTGTTCAGCTCTCTGCCAATGGTGGGCAGCGCCACGGCAATGGAGTTCTGGTCGATGTAGGTGATGAGGAGAGCTGAAGCCAGGGCGGCAAACACCACCATCAACCGGCTCCCTGTCAGGATGTTGGTTTGGTCATGGAGGGCATGCTTCTCCTCTGCCATGGCTGCGTCTTTGTCAGCTGGTTCAGCCTATCTGCTGCTAAGTGAGCAGCCAAAGAACCAGGTAGGTTATAAGAAAGGAAAGGCATATCTTGCAATGTTGCTCGGCACTGTAATCGGAGCCACGAAGGACCGTCCTGGGCCATCCCAAATCCACAGTGGTGACTTACATGCCGTGTGCCGGCCGGCCGGCCGGAGACTACCATCCTCAGCGGAGCAATTCTGAGAGCCTGGACATGGAGTTTACAATAGCACAACAGATAAGGAAGCCAACCCGGATTCAGGGAAGAATCTACGGGGTTCAAGCGATTCTACGAACCGACGCACCTCGACTACCGCCCAGCATGACTAGCCTCAAGATCCAAGATCACCCTCAATACCAAGCCTCCATCGCCGCCGGCTTCGGCCACCGCCTCGGCTGGGGCTCCCGGCCGGCGCTCCTCCTCATCGACGTCTGCGTCGCCTACTACCAACCCGGCTCCCCGCTAGACATCACCCACAACCCCTCTGGCGCCGCCAGCGCACCCTCCATGTGCCGGCTCGTAGCAGCGGCGCGTGCAAGTGGCGTCCCCGTCGTGTGGGCGCAGGTACGGTACAACCACCCGCGGCTGCGCGACGGGGGCGTTCAGGCGGCAAAGACGAAGACGATCCGTGCGTGGCAGGACGGCGACCCGCGCGGCCTGGATGCGCTGATGCCTGGGCTGGAACCGGCTGAGGGCGAGACGACGGTGCTGAAGCGGAACCCATCGGCGTTCTTTGGCACGACGTTGGCGACGGAGTTGCGGCTGCTAGGGGTCGATACGCTGGCAGTGTGTGGGGTGAGCACGAGTGGATGTGTGAGGGCGACGGCGATGGATGCCATGTGCTATGGTTTTCGGCCGATGGTGAGTAGGGGTTGTGGTGACGATCCCGAGTGACTGGTTTGTGATAGATGCTGACTGTTGCTTGTTTGATAGGTGGTCAAGGAGGCGTGTGGGGACCGGTCGGAGATGATACAGCAACAGAACTTGTTTGACATGGACGCGTCGATTGGGGATGTTGTGGAAGAGGCTGAAGCGATAGCGCAGCTGGGGAGGTCGTGGAGTTTGTGATCGTAGGCCAATCACAACATTGAGATTTCACATCATTGCTGCTCCATTCTATAGTACAACACATTCTAATATTCTTGGCCTCTGGAACGATGGTATTGTTAATTGTGCCCATATCTCCAAGTGTCTACGTATGTACGTACTTCCAGGTTCCAACAGCCCGTAGCATGGCTGGGTCCGGGGTCCCTGAGAAACATGGCGCCGGCCGGCGCTAGGAAATAAGTGGAACTGGGCCCTGCCGGAATGGAGATGGTGCCAGGACCCCGGCCAGTCTAGTTTCCCTATCTATTGGGTCCAGATACAGAACAGACTATCTTTCACAAACCTCCAAGACAGCCACACCTCGCCGAGATGATACCGCGTACACCTATCGACTATCTACCAAATGGCTGGACTGCTCGTCCTCACATCTTCACGGTGGTCAGACTCGTGTATAAACACGAGCACGACCGACCGTGGCTCGGGCAATTCGGCAGCCGACATTGTTGAATCTGCTTGTCATAGCTGCCACTACTTGCAACATTCACTCTACTTCGCTGGGTCCTAAACAGACAGACCACCGTACAGAAGTTAACACCATGTCCGACACGACTGAGAAGCACCAGGCGAAGAGCGTCGGTGCCGTCCGCGATGTCGAGACCGGCTCGTTTCTAGATGGCACGGTTGAGTCAATCGGGATGGACGATGTTCAGGCGCCCAAGGTCGGGGGTTCCATCTGGAAGTTGCTCTCCAGCGTGGGCGTAGAGATGCGCGGTGCCGAGCCTGTACCGGTTGAGAAGCGGACCGACACTCAGTTCGCCAACGTCTTCTACATCTTTGCGACGTCCATGACGAGCTTGCTGCCGTGAGTGACATACGTTTGACTATGATATTGGAATCGACGACTGACAGAGACTAGAATCGGTATCGGCTCAGCTACTACCCTTGGCTTTGGTATGTCACTGAAGGCTGCGGCATGCATGATTGTCTTCTTGCAGTTCTTCTTTGGCCTACCGACCGCTTACATCGTGACGATTGCTCCGTTGACGGGCATGAGACAGATGATTCAGTCCCGATACTGCTTTGGGTACGTGCTCATCCCACCCCTCTTTCATTGTCATCCCCGGGGAGTGTCCATGTAGCTCACACTTCTCAGGAAATACTGCAATTTCTTAACCTCTGTCATCGTCACTCTTACCGTCGGCGGCTTCGCCGTCACTGGCAGTATCAATGGGGGCCAGTGTCTCGCTGCTGTCAAGCCCGGCACCCTTCCCGTTGAGGGCGCCATATCCATCATCATGGTCATTTCCCTCGTTATAGGCTTCATGGGCTACCGTGTCATGCATCTTTTCACCCGCTGGGCATGGATCCCGAGCTTGCTGGCCATTTTCATTCTCGTTGGCGCTGCCGGCGACCAACTCTACCAGCAAGGCGCTCCTCGTGCTCATAGTGCCAAGGACTACATGGGCATGGTCGCCTTCGCTGCTGGCAACATGGTGACCTGGAGCAACGTGGCGGGAGACTATGCGTGCTATATGCCCCCCACAGCGCCGCGCTTTCGCATCGCCATGTACTGCCTGTTCGGAATCGCGCTGCCCTTCTCGCTTCTCATGACCCTCGGCGCGGCCATTGGAGGCGCTGTACCCAGCATCCCCGCCTGGGCGGCCGCCTATGAACTGCACGGCATCGGCGGCGTCATCGGCACCATCCTCACCGGGCGACTGGGCGACTTCGGACGCTTCATCCTTGTCATGTTGGGTATGTCGGTCCTAGCGACCTGCGCGCGAGACGTTTATACCATATCTTTCAACATCCCGGCGTTCGCACCTATTGCGCGCAAGGTGCCGCGTGTGGTCCTCGCGATTCTGGCCACGGCCGCCATCATCGGAATCGCCATTCCCGCATCTAAGTCCTTCGTCAGCTCTGTGACGGCCTTCCTCAGCATCATCGGGTACTACGCCGGCGCGTCCGTGACGTGCTTCCTGACCGAGTGGCTGTACTTCCGCAAGGCCGACCCGGCGAGCTTCGATCCGGCAATCTGGGACGACGGGCGGGCGCTGCCGACGGGGCTGAGCGCGCTGGCGTCGGTGCTGATTGCCTGGGGCTTTATTATTCCTTCCATGAAGACGACATGGTACACGGGGCCGATTGCGGAGAAGACAGGCGATCTTGGGTTCGAGTTTGCAGTGGTGATTGCGCTATTGGCGTATATTCCTATCCGGACGGCGGAGATCAAGATCAGGGGCCGGCTCTGAGGCGTGGAATTGGGAGTAGCGGAAGTGTCCAAGTTCTAAGTAATAGATTTAATTTTGTGGTAACTAGTAGATGGATGGATGGCTAATAATAGATGCGTGGACTGCATTATTCCTTGACAGAATTGCCTGCCGGTTGTTGTAAATATGCCGGTCTCTGGAGGCCCACGATATCCACCAATGCTCTGTATTCCCTTGAATGGTAGTGGGGCTCAACGCGTACATTTATAATAAATCTTGGGTTCTCTCTCTCTCATATATATTTGAAGTCAATATATTCCTCGAGCCTCTATACCGACGCCTTCAAAAATCTTTCGAACGATAATTCGACTCAAAGATATTGCCAAGGACCAGCCAGCATGGCATCGCAAGCAGGGCAGATTCGCCAGCCCCTCCAACCGTCCATCCGTCCCATCCTAGACCCTGAATACGTAACCCTCCACGACTCACTCGTCCAATACGTCGAGCCTTTAGAATCGAAGCCATGGGACCCTGAAAATCGCAACAAGCCTTCGGCATTGGCACACGCACAGCCAAAGCTCGTCGACGTCGGCCAGTGCTTCGACAAGGTCCTCGGAAACGTGCAGCTCCGCGTGTTCGTGCCGGAGGGCGAGGCGCCGGCCAAAGGATGGCCGTGCATGGTGTGGTATCACGGCGGCGGATGGGTGAATGGTGGTTTGGGGAGTGATAATGGCTTCTTGAGCCATGTTTGTCGATGTGAGTCTGGACATGAGAGACGGCTAGAGAGAACACAATGGATTAACTAGTCCCCAGATACGCGATGCATGGCCATCTCTGTCAATTATCGCCATGCACCCGAAGATGTGTACCCAGCTGCCCTAGAAGACTCGTTCTGGGGTTTTCAGTGGATAAGAAATAATGCAGCTACGCTCTCCATCGACATTTCACGCCTGGTCCTGGGAGGATGTTCAGCGTACGTCAAACCATCTTCTATCTCTCTCATGACCCAATGGCTGATCCTCAGTCATAGCGGCGGCAATCTTGCTGCAGTCATGTCCCTCAAGGCTGGCCTTGCGAAGCTATCTCCAGCACCCGTATTCCAGCTCCTCATCTGCCCCGTAATAGACTGTACGGCGACGGTGAACACGGCGTGGGCAACTACGCAACACTCGCCGTTCCTCACTCCCGGGCGCATGACCTGGTACCAGGACCGGTACCTCCCGAATCCATCGGACCGGGCCAATTGGGACGTCTCGCCGTGCTTCGCGCCGCCAGAGACGCTGGCATTGAGCCCTAAGACATTCGTCGCCATTGCCGAGTGCGACTTGCTCGCGCCCGAGGGGCTTAGGTATGCTGAGCTTTTGCGCAAAGCAGGCGTTGAGGTCGAGACAAAGACCTACAAAGGCGCTACGCACTCGATTCTTGTTCTAGCTGGGTGAGTTCACATTACCTGCGTCATAACTAGGCACATCTGCGTATGAACGCTGCGGTATGCTAGGATCTTTTCATTTTGCTGACCACTGCCCGGCAAATAGAATCCACCAAATTGGACAGCAGTTGGTGCATGACGCCTGTGCTGTGATCGCTCGGGAGCTGGGCACTGAGTACGACCCGTCAACCTCGCCAATTCTCTCCCAGAGCGGGTGAGGCCATCTCACTATTTGTGCCGGTACTGGTAGTGTTATCTGATATGGAGCCCGATTGCTGGGGTCGTGGAGACTGGCGTGGGTTCCGGCACGATATGGGCCGGGGTTATGGGGTAGAGTAGTGAGATAAGCTGCCGGAACCGGCACATCGGCCTCGAGTTGCATCGTGTAGGTAATTGCGCGCAACAGGCAAAAATTACCAGAATGCCCTAGACTAACAGACGAATAGAGTTTCGAAGTACACCCTGGACGGCAATTGATATCAATAAATCATGAGTTGTGAGTTAAGAGAGGGAAAAATCGAGTCCCAAGCTGTGCTATCATAGATGTGTTCAAGGTAAATTATCCGAATCATCTCAGCCTCAGTGGCAGTAAACGATGTCCTCGGCTATCAACCCTTCATTCCATCCAGCGTACGCAAAAGAATGCGGTGACCCGTCCCGAACGAAGCGCCTCGGCTTCGGAGCATGCCCGGCCATCTTGTTTGTCGACGTCTGCGAAGCCTATTTCGCCCCGTCGTCACCACTGTGTCTAAGTCCCGAGACAGTCGAGCGGTCCTCGACAACCATCGCCGCCCTCCTGCGAGCCGCCCGCAAGACTGGCATCACGAATAAGGCCGGGGAGCCGGACGACCTCCCCATCATCTACGCCCAGACGCTATATACTCACCCCGATCTTCGCGATGCCGGCCTCCAAGCCCAGAAGACTGGCCACGCCTCCTTATTCTCCAGCCGAAATCCCGAGCGTCTCAGCGGTGTACCTCACAACCGGCCCGCCCTACAACCGGCGCCGAGTGACCTAGTTCTGGCAAAGAAATACCCCTCACCATTCTTCGGTACGAACTTGGCCACGCAGCTGACGGCCTTGGGGGTAGACACCCTCGTGATCGCTGGGTATATGACGAGCGGATCCGTCAGAGCCGCAGCGCTGGACGCGATGCAGGCTGGTTTCCGGGCCATGGTGGTGGCTGATGGGTGCGGTGATCGCGGCGAAGAGACGCACTGGGCGAATCTCATGGATGTCGGCGCCAAGTATGGTGATGTAGTAACACTGGAAGAGGCGGATGCTGGATTGAAGGCTGGATGGGGGCGGTCATGATCCCCGTACATAGCTGCAGAGTGATAATGACCAGCCATTGAAGCTTCCTAGTTTCCATGTTTTTCCCAATCATGGTCGCCATCCAGTCCAGCCTAGGTTGACATAACCTTGTACAATATCGGCAAAGTCGTTATCAAACGGTTCTCGGAGAAGTGCGGCTGTGGTCGATTCGGGGGAAGGCAGCGTCCCGAAGCCGTCTTCATGGTAGCCAGCAAATGCTTCAGAGCCGTCAATGGTCTGTTGACTAGGATGTGCGGTCCTACTATCCACCGCTGTATGGTTATGAAGGTACGTCCCGTGCGCGGCCGCATCGCTGAGAAGACGCAAATTATCGGTGTAGTTATGTGGTCCCTGGAAGCCATCATGGGCTGGCTGTTGAGTTGTATCATTGACTTCTCCGTACATATTTGCCGTCGATCCATGGCGTCTGGGAGCCGTCTCATGGTGAATATTGTGATCCATCTCTGGCGGCTGCTCGTTTCTCTGGGCCTGCGGCGATCGAGTGGCATCGGGTGAGTGGCCGACCGATGCAGAAAGGAGTGCCTCATGCGTTGAGACCTCATTCAGCAACGGGCTGCCCTGAGAAGGTGGCCGATTGATGACTTTGCGGAGGATGTCCACCCACTCCGAAGCCGTCGGCCACTTGTCCTCAAACGTGGAGAGCACCTCGAGCGACCGGTGAACTATCTTGGCCGCCGAGGAGGCGACGCTGGGGCAGAGCCGCGGCCACTTGTACACGTAGCAGGCCAGGGAGCCGCAGATATAGGTACAAAAGGCCAGCATAGCGGGGAATCCGTCATCGGCGGAGCGCAGGCAGAACCACACATCGATGGCCTCATAAAGGTCGGCAACGTTGGTGAAGAGCTCATGGGACATTTGCTCCCAGAATTTTGCCAGCGCCGGGTCGGATCGGCTTGGTGACGGGAGCAGCTGAGCGACGATGCTCTTGAGGTAGGTCCGTCGGAGAACAATGTTGTTTAGCCGCGTGATAGTTATTATGGACAGGTATGCAAGGTCGACGTGCTCGGCCTTGTAGCCCCTTAGGTTCCAGGCAGACCACCTATGCTGCACCGGGATGTTATCCTCCCAGTCCCGGAGAGTTTCCGAGATCCGCTGGTAGTGGCAGTTCGGCTCCCACGGGTTCGAGTCCAAGGTAGGCGAGTCGTGAGTATCGCCGTAGGCATCTCGTGCAATCATACCCCAAAGGTCGTGCGCTTGGATGAGGGTCGCAAAGAGAGACCTGGTAGGAAGTGAGGTCAGAGAGCGTTTGCGCTGCGCTGGTGATGTTCCCTCTAGTGCAGCCCGCTCAGGGGGCACTCGGCCAAATGCAAAGTCATTCTCCTCACCGGGTAGAAGCGTGGTGATGTCTGATTTGGCAAACGAAACGGGCAGATGTTGTTGTGTGTATAGGTTGTCGTGGTTCTGGATGACCCAAAATGTTCTCCTCGCGCGCTCTTTGTTGACAACTTCGTCTGCGGATGCCCCCTGTGGGAGAATATATGTTTCTTCACGATGGAGGCGTAGTAACCCAGCCATTCTGACGGCAATTCCCATGTTGATGGCGCTCCTCTCGCGGTCAGCTCTGCCCCAGTCCGCCATGCCAAGTAAGAAGAATGCCTGTGTGTTCTCTAGACTGGGCTTCCACATCTCATCGGCGATCATGACATGGGCAATGTCAATGAAGAACTCAGATGCTCCTTGGCTGCTACCGAACCGTTGGCAGAGCTCCGGGGCAAAACGAGCCGAGATGCCGAGCATGCTCAAAAGAAGAAAGGCATTGACGGAGTCCCTGTCGTTCGTCATCTGCTCTAGGAAGAGAGCTTTGGGGATGAAGCCTATCCCGCGGTTAGCACTGTGTCGGGTTAGAAGTTTGCTCGCCTGTGCACATACCGACTTGAAGGCAAGTTGTCAAGAAGACACGGCAGCCTTGCATTAGCTCTTCGTGGGGTGGAAGTAGGTTCCAGATATCGGTGGCAGAGTAGATCTCCACTTTCCGAGCTACAGATGGCGAGAGTAGGTTCTGAACCCTAGTGATGGAGTCACTGTTCGTGCTGTAAGTCCCAAGGTCGCCACGCCAAACTTTCGGTGATGGAATACCTTGTGAAGGTCATTGGCGCCTCATTCGATCTGAAAAAGGGCTCATCAGCGTTGTCGCCAGACATGAAGAGTACTAACCATACACTGTCGATCCATTGCTTACCATAGACCCCGGTTCTTGAGGACTTGTGCGTTTGATACGAAACTAGCGACGTAAGCCTTTAATAGGAAATAGCATGTCTGTAAATAAAGAATATCTTACCTTTCTATCCACAGTATCACCTCTGACAGCAAGAGCGCTTGTTGTCTGTCATCAGTCTACTACCTTCTTGAAGGTGTACAATACTCACCACGACTTGGTATCTTCTGGCCCTGCTCGACGACATGGAATACAGGGAATGCGGCCTTCATGCTGCACACATTTCATCCGCAGACGACGGCATCTGTATGGAATGAGTAATGATCGTTAGAGTATGGGGACAAGGTAAGAACCTCCTACAGGCAACCGCCGACCTCTTTGGGCGCGGCATCTCCATTTCCTGGGACGGGGTGAGCTGACTGTTACCAGTTGGACGGTCCATGTGTGCTTGTATCAATGGAACGTTTGCCTTGTGCTACAAAGAGGACTGTGAATATGTGGACTGAACTCGGAAGTCGTTCGAAGTTTGGCAGCCCCGGACCGGTGCCTGCACTCAACACCACTACTAGAGATTGGACTTTTGCAAGACCTGTCGCAAGATGCCCCTGTTGGTTTCTACTGCCCTAACATCCCTTTCACTGCCTATTACCCCTAGGCTAAGCCTATTTCGGACTGCTTAGTCTCTTCCCATGTATTTAGTTATCTTCAACTGTTTGGCCAGCTAGATCTCCTTTTGGGAGAGACAATGGGAATCGTCAAGACCAACTTGCGTTGTGACTCTGCAGCAACTGAGCTTAAGCAGCGAACGTGGTTAATCATCACCCACGCGAAATGCGACAAGACCTCCCTCAATACACTCTCTATGTCAGTATTCTAGGCCTTATCTGACTCGACACTATTTAACACTCCACCGTGAGCGGGTCAGAGTTGTGTGGGCCTATGGTAGCATGGTTTAGATAGTGGGTCTTTGTCAACCTGGTTGGCTATGATAGGCCATTACCATATTAGCACCCTTCTTATCTCCTCCCTCCTAGGGTAGGGAACCCATCAACAATAACAATCTGGGGAGAATTATGGACACCCTACTACGTAGTACTCCGTACAGCTGGTTCTTTGCTAGATGCTGGTATTCTGGCCCTACAACCTCCAGTGCCTACGCTGATCCTTGTCCCAGCGCCGGAAGTCCCATCGCCGCCAGCTTGGTGTTCACCTCATCTAGATGGTCCATGAAATGGCCTTGGAGATTGTCCCAGAACTCGCCTTCATACCCGGGGATTTCTGTGATAATTCAAGTCAGAGGGTTTGTGGCCAAGTAATTGAATTGAGGGATTTTGGCTTACGCTTGATGGTCGGGTTCCTCTCCAAGGCAAACTTGGTCAGACTAAAGTGGTTGTTTAGGTGGAACATGAAGCCTATTCACAAAAGTTAACATTGGCATCCGTGTACCATTCGTAGAGACAACGAATCACTCACTTAAAGCATCCTTGCCGGCGACCTCATGTTCCAACTGCTTCGTCGTCGCTTCTTTCCACGCCCCGTAGGCATCCCCATGTGGCATGTACGAATTCTCGCAGCTCAGACAGCCCTCCTGCACGTCACGCACAGACCCGTGGTACTCGCCATAGATCATGCCGAGCATCTCGGTCGACATGTTGCGATGGTAGTAGGGCGGCCGGTACGTGTCGAGCGCCGTGATATGCTTGGCCGTGTACACGGCGAATTCTGACAGCGCCACCTTGGGCGTCTTGGACTTGGCGATGAGGACGGTGTAGATGGTCGGGTCGCACTGCTCCTTCATCGCGCAGGCGAGCGGCACGAACTTCTCCATGGCGTACTTGAAGGGCACGTAGCTGCCGTGCCATGCCACCACGTCAAAGGGTGTGTGGTTCTGCTTGTACGCGAAGAGCTGGCCCGCGAGTTTGTATGTGACTATCAACGGCATTAGTTTTCAGATTGGGATACTTCGGGTGCAGATTTCTTACTCTCCCACTTGGACTGGTCCATGTCAAATGAAGCTACGGGGTACTCGAAGTCGCGAGGATGCGCCAGGCCATTAGAGCCGATTACACCGAGGTCGGGAAGCTCGAAATGGGAGCCAAACACCTCGTGCACATATCCTCTCGAGGGACCGTCAGGTAGCGACACCTTCCACCGAAGTCCAGCCTGGATGACACACAGCTCACCCGGCCTGACCATAAGCCTACCTAGCTCAGTCTGGATTTCGAGTCGGCCGACCTGCGGCAAGATCAAGAAGTCGCCGTCGTTATTGCAGAACGCCTTCTTCTCCATCGAAGCGTTGCACGAGTACAGGTGCATTGCCAAGCCCTCTTTTAGCGTCGGATCGCCCCAGCCGCCTATCGTCTTGAGTCCGTGGATGAAAGTCACCTGGTCCTCCTCCTCGGGGTACTCTAGGGGACCCCATTCGTATGTGAGAGGGGTAAACTGGACGTTCGGGTTCTGCGGGGAGAAGCATGCTTCAAGCTGGGGCTGGTCAGCCAAGATGCTCTCGCGGGAAGTGAGGGCGTATTGGACTTAAATCGGGGCTTGCTGGCATGGGTCGGGGCCGCGCGTGTGCAACGGCGGGCCGTATGCGGTACATCCAGACATGTTGGAGTGTGTCGCGGTACGATGCAAATGGAGTCCCGTTAAGCTGTTCTGAGTATAGGTCATATGGGCATCGCTGCGGCACGTTCCGTCCAGGCTCTGGAAGGGCATCTGGTCTTTCATGGCGTAAGTCAAATCCGGTTCTGCGAATGGTTCTTCAACTCACACAGCTTCTGAGGAGAAGTAGTTACCAAAGCCGAGCTGGTATCTGTACGGGTCATTCTCTTTCGGCGGAGTTGTTCGCGACCCAGCGGCAGATGCACCGAAGGTCTTGGGTACCGATGGCGTCAAGATGGAGGCGTCACCCATTTTGGCTATGACACAAAGCTCAACAAGCAAGAATCAGAAAGAAGACTGCTGCTCAAAAGATGTCTTGAATTTGTGCGTGTCAAACCCCTCAAATCTAGCTTTTATCTGATCAAAATCCAAGCACGTGGCGGCCGCGACAGAAAGGTAGCTTGTCCTGCGCTCACTTACATGACAATTGTCACCATGTGTTGATTGATGGTTTATGCCCGCTCGTATCCTGCCGGCCGGCCGGCCGGCCCCATCGGCTTGGACGGGCCCAATGCTCTGATTCTGTCCTATCTACAACGTAATAATACACGCAGCAGCGGCAAGCAACTCCCCTATCAGACTCCACTCTGCTCTGGCGGCCCGGACCGGGACGTGCACGCCGATAGACCGAGAGGCGGCGAGATGATGGGCCTCAATGGTCCCTACATGTCGATTTCATGTCGACCTAGCCCCGAGATCACGGATAATCGGAGGAATCTGAAGGAGCGAGTAGCGAATCAATGTTATCATATCTCTAAGTTCGCGGCTCTATAGCATCTACTTTCTGTCTCACTTCCGAGATGCCTCCTCACAAACACTTTAACTGCACAATTAGCGGTTCGACACCATGGCTATTACTTTGAGTAACGATCAACTTCCCGCCTTTGCTCAATCGCCTATACGAGTGGGTGCAATACTCCTCGTGCTAGGTGTTGTTCTTTACCAGATCCTAAAGAGGTCTTTCAAGAGATACCCATGTCCCCTACCGCCGTCACCACCGGCAGAGCCGCTCTTGGGCCATTTCCGAACATTGCCCCCCGAGAATGCGCACCTCAAGCACATGGAATATGCCAAACGATTCAGTGGGTGACATTTGGAAACATTTATCATACGGCGGCTAAGACCAACCCAGATTCGGACATTGTTTACTTCAATGTTTTGGGCAACCACACCATTGTCTTGAATAGCCAGAAGGTTGCCAATGAAATCCTCGACAAGCGAGGCGCCAACTATCAGGACCGGCCTGGCTTCGTCCTCTTTGATGTCATGGGATGGGGTCTCACCCTGACCTTTATGCCGTATGGCCCGCGCTTCAAGCTTCACCGCTCGGCGCTGCAGCATGGCTTCACCAAGACGGCTATCGTCAATTATCGGCCCATCCAAGAAGACGAGGCGAGACAGGCCATAGCCCGGATTCTGAAGCGACCCACGGAGTGGGATTTCTCTCTACGGAGGTAATCAAAGCCCATATTATGGCAACCGGCACGGAGTAATAACACTGTCTAGGTTCGCATCTGCCATCGTCTTGCGCATCGGGTTTGGCGTCACTGTGCGGTCTGACGATGACCCGTACATCAAGATTGCCATCGACGCAAACATGGCGACGGCAAAGGGTGGAAACCCGGGAGCTGCCCTCGTTGACTACATGCCCCCGTGTAAGCAGGTCACGGCGAAGCCGCCCCAGTCGATCAGCACCTCTGACTAGAACGTCGCAGTCCGCTTCATTCCCGAGTTTCTCAATTTCTCGGGCACTCTACAGCACGCCCGAAAATGGCGATGGGCCATCAAAAACCTCCATGATATCCCCTTTGCAGCTATTAAGAAGGAGTTTGTGAGTTGGTCGCGAGATGCACACAGAAGAGCTGGTTTGACCCAAGGTCTAGGACGAGGGAACTGCGAACCCATCATTTGCTTACTCACTCCTGAGCAAATACACGCAAAATGAGGAGAAGGGAATCCCCAATCAGCTTGAAATGAAGGACATCCAAGGAGCTTCCGGATCCGTGTTCATCGCTGGATCAAACACCGTAAGTACACGGTCCATACATTTAGCAACGTGTGAACTAATCGACGCCCAGACTTTGGCCACGACAACCGTTGCCCTTCTCAACATCATGCGAAACCCTGAGGTATTCATGAAGGCGAGGGCGGAACTCGACCGCGTGGTTGGTGAAGACCGACTCCCAAGCCTGGCCGACCGCCCCAACCTGAGGTATCTTGACTATGTGGTTGAAGAGACCACTCGATGGCGGCCGCTATCACCTATCGGTATCCCGCATAAGTCCCTGAAAGATGACACCTACAATGGGATGTTCATCCCGGCAGGGTAGGTGAACAGCCGATGGTGTGGTGGTGATGAGTCCCCGACTGACGCTTGCTATGACAGAACATTCGTCTACTACAACACGTACGCCATGAGCCGCGACGAGAATGTTTACAAGAACCCTGAAATCTTCAACCCTGATAGATACACGCCAAAGGAAGAGGGCGGCGATGGGGAGCCCTTCCTCGTCGGTCCATTCGGATTCGGCCGCAGGTAAGACAACATCGACCGCGCCAATACGGTTTTCTCCTTACTAACATCAGCATTAGGATCTGTGTTGGACGGCATCTCGCCCAGGCGTCCGTATGGATCGCTGTTGCAACTATGATTGCAACGACGGACATCTCGAAGCCTGTAAGTCCAGACGGAAGGCCGATTGATCAGCCGATCGTGTTTAGCACCGGGTTGTCGAGCCATCCTGGAAAGTTTGATGTCAATTTCCAGCCGAGGTCTGAGAAAGCTACTAGGCTGCTTGCTCAGGCTGTCGGTGATGCCCAATGAGCTCATGATTTGGTGATGTTGATGCAGGGTAGGGAATGAGAAGTGAATCGGCGCTGGAGAAGTCAGAGAATATTCCTGCGACCGCCGGCCTTGGGTACATGCTCATATATTGGCAGAAAAGGTGTAAATAAACAGTTGAAGTCAGTCGATACGAATAGAACGTGAAGTGCAAGCTCTCCCATCGATGTCTGCCATTGAACCCAACTGTGGAAGTGACTTGCGCAAATTCATAACTGTCTTCTGCATCCCAACTAGGCATGCCTGCAGCATAAGAGCAGCGAGGCTTTAAGCCCGATTCGTAGTCGCCTATTGAAACCCGGATGGCCTGCATATGCTAATGTCTCAGAGCTTCAAGTCGCTCAGGGGACGATCAATACGGTCTCCCGCTCGTGTGTCTGAATTTCCCACCACACACCCCTCCGCTTCTCCGAGACGGGGGGCTCTCGGCCCTCCGACTCTTAACCCTCAATCTCGACGCGGACTTCAGTGACGAAGAGTTCAAATGGTCTTCTTTGCCCTCCCGTCGGTCCGTTGAGCAATTGCTCCCACGTTTCCTTGAGCTCATCCCTCAGCTGGAAAGGCTGGGATTCAGCTGTCCAGATCTGATCCTAGACTCGTACTGGTTACTAGAAGAGCTCGCCACAGTCCATTTTCCCTGTTTGAAAGCGATCAACTTGTGGCGTCTAGTTATGGGGCCGGAGACTTTATTATCGATGCTACGCACCTACCGGGCCACGCTGCGCGAACTTGATCTATATGAGTGTTCCCTCGGCGATCCAGATGCTGATAACGACGATGGTGGTGGTGATGGTGACGGTGACGGTGATGAAGAAGCTGACCCAAACATATGGCGGTCCCTGTTACACGGTCTGTTAGACCTCAAATTGGAATGTCTTTCCGTTTCCCGACCGTTGCTGCAGATGGTGGGCGACGTTCGATTCCGGTCGGTTAAAGGGGAGGAGTATCAAGAGCTGGCAGGGGAAACCCCCGAAGCCGTCCAAGAGGAGATCAACCGGGTCGACGCCATTCTTGTAGGTCGGAGGGCGGGGGAAGGACCATGGTCACCGCAACCTGATGAGAGCTAGTGACGGGGTGTTACGTCGAGGGGTAGACCTCATTGGGGACGAGTATTTGACAGGATCGTACAAGAGGTACCAGCAGTCTCAACAGAAGAAGATATCAATTCATAACTCGCGCTAGTTGAGAGTAACTTTATTGGGTTCATAAGAAGTCGAATCACGATGCATTATTGGCCTCCTATTCCTCCAGACCTCCCATACTCCTAGATAGATCAATCAATCACATATTCATACTTCTACAAAATGATGATCCAAGGTCTGTAGAGCTTGTAAAAAGAGGGAGAGAACAAGAGACGAAAGGCACCATCTCCTCCATGTATCTGCCGGTTGCCATCTCTTGCTCCAGCGCTGTAATACAGACGACAGTCCATTGTCGAGAATCGCTGTGTCAACTATATTAGTTAATAGCTCTACAGCATAAGCATGGCGGTTCCAATCACTCCAAAAAGCACGATTGGTAGAAAGAAAGAATCCCTCCAAAGATATGCCCCAGTTATCGCCGCGCTTCCTGTCGCAGGAGGGCCGTCCGGTGTCCCCGTCGTGACTACGGATTGCGTCGCTGAAGTCGTTTCACCTGTTGTAGAGATTCCAACTTTTGTAGGCGTAGGTAGCTGCGCTGATATGCTACTTATACGAACATCGTCCAGTGCAACGGCACACGGGTTGGCGGGGCCACCCACCGCGTCGCCAAAATGCGGGCAGCCTGTCAAGTTGGCCTCGATTCCAAAGACACCAGCCGCGATCGGACACTCGCCACCCCCTTGGATAGCTGGAGGAATGCCAGAGCCCGTAGTAGTAAAGTTAGAGCGGCCCTCACCAAAGACATAGCCTGCGCTAATTCTGAATCGATTGCCTTCATCCGTGCAGTTGGTGGCCAGTTTCAGCTCCCAGGCCAGCGTCCAAGTGGTAACAGGGTCTCGCCAGTTTCCGTCGATCCTAGTGGAGTTAACGATGATAAACGGGTCCGATGGCGGCGGGCTGGGGTTTGCTAGAGAAGGCCCCCCCGCCCCCGCCCTGCCGAAGTCCTTCAGGCCAATGTCGTTGTGTAGCTCCCAGCTAAATGTGAACCCAAAGTCCCAAGCCACTTTTGCATTTTGAATCGCGAATATAAGCGGGAACGGCGACTGATAGAGGTATGTTGTGTTCGGTCGCGGAAGCACTATGTCAACTTCGATATCGGTAGGGAAAGTGACCATGTCTTGAGCTAGTGCGACGGTCACTAGTAGTGCCGCAGAAAAGAATAAAGACTTCATGTTTGATTTGGGTTGAATTCCAGGGATCACGACCGAGGGGAAATGTAATGTATCGAGTCAAACTGCACGGCTTGGGATAGATATCTGAGGAGGGGGCGATAAGTGGCCTTATGGCCTGGCGATAAGCAAAGTTATTATATTTTCCCTGTGCAACAATTGGCAGTCCGTCCTTTACATACTTGGTTGATGGCAGCGGTGGTCCGCACTGCTAATTACTGGGGTAACACTTACGAGGCACCCTCGATTCTTACGGTGGAAGCCGAGAGGTCAGGAGTAGCGTAATATAATTTGCTAGTCCGTGCATCATATCGTGCTAGGATAATTGGATCGTAAGTTCGTAACAAATAGCCAGGGGAAATTGGGAATGAGGGCAAGTCGGATCCTCCGGCTCGCTCCATATCATGTCCTTCGTAGCATAAGCTACCGGATTGAAACTTTCAAGTTGGTCCAAGTAGGTTCATTGTCGCGTGGTGCGTAGGGTTGTGTACTCGCGTCTCGTGTGCGCAAAGGATGGCACTTGGGTAACTAAGCTAACTGCCTCGTAGCACATGTATGCTAGAAGGCGGAGCGGTGTTTGGAAAGCTTTGATTTGCTAACTATTATCAAGCGTGAACGAAAGAAAGAAGAGGTAAAAAGAGGGAGATAATAATAGACTAGGAGATAATACTTAACGGTAACTGTGGTGGTAGGAAGTTATGGTAATGCTGGCTGGTGATTCGTTTCTCCACACAGAGAAATCGTGATATTGCTGGGCTGGGACCTTCGTTCCTTCACATATTACGGAACTCCACATCACCCAAGAGTGTTATTAGTCCGGCAAGGCAAGAGTTAGTGTCAGTCTGTCGGAGGTTAACAAGGTAAACTACTTCTGACCGAATATAAGCGTCTCACGTCTCACTACCTCAGTTAGGTAACCTATTGCTTCCGTGACTGATTGACATGCCTAAACAATTAACAACATATGAGCCTATGAAATGGTCTCACATCCAGCATGTGCATTCACTTATATGGAATAATGATGCACATATTCCCCTCCGCCTGCGAAGAAGCATCACATCGTATCCGGCATCTAGTCAGAGCCTGACCAATGCTTCGGAAATTACTCAAAGGCTTGATCATCACTGTTACGATGAACCGTTCGCTACTCGATGACTGAGACCACAACTCGGTAGAGGTGCTATTTTTGAATTTGAACCAAATACCAGAAACACGCCACTACTACTAACCAGCCCAAGCATCCGTATACGGCCCATACAGAGTATGCATGGCAGCCTCTATCCACGCCGCCCTCCCACTCTCCGCTTTGAAGTATTCATGCAGATACAACCATTCACTCCTCCCTGCCCTCCGACTTTTATCGAAAGCGAACATTCCGAGAACCACTCCCAAGTCTCGATCCACCACCCATCGCCGCGTCGGGATCGGGTACCGGAACAGCGACAGGCCCTGCTCGCAGTGCTGCGTCATGGTCACTCCGTTCTCGTTGCGCACACATTGTGCCGCCGCGAGCACTCCGCTCCCGTCTCCGGACTGGATGCCCTCGGCATAGCTGTTCGCGATCGCGATGAGCTGCACCCGTGTCAAGGCCGGTGCCGGGTACGGCGTGCTCCACACGGCGGGGGCTTCCGCAGGGAATCGCTCCGGTGCGAACAGCATGTGGCTTCCTGGTAGGGCATTGACGATCTCGATCTCATCGATCGCGCCCGTGGCGTTGTCCAGCGCCATGCGGATGCTAAGGATGGCGCGCTGGCGACCCGCTTCGGTCGGGACGCGCATCGACGCGATCTGACAGGCGTCGACGTCCACAGCGGAGATCTGCCAGGGAACGGCGAAGTTGGTCAGGTTGGCATATGACGTTTGAGCCAAGGACACGACCTGATTGTTCTGTGTGATTTTGGCTGATGACGAGAGGGGCGTGGAGAGCGTGTTCCGCTGAGCGACAGCGGAATTGAAGAAGTCAGTGACGGCGGATTCAAGCTGGGGCCGGGTGCAGGCGCAAAGAGCGGAGGGGAGAACGGAAAAGGGGAGGGAGGCGAGATAAGGCCTCATTCTGAAGGTATGATGTTGTCCCACGTCTTAGTGTTCACTTCTTTTGAGTCGCTCGACGGTGCGACTGGTCAAGTAGAGACAGTAATCGAAGGAGCCATCATTTGGTAGATTCACTCATGTTATTATATAGATCCCTCTAAGTCCGATCCGAACTTCTCGCTCTGTTGCAAATTATTGCGGTCTATGTCATGTAGACATGCATTTATGGGCAAATCGGGTCGTGTTTCGCGGAATACTTGCGCAATATGCGTGGTCAGGGTTTAATCAATCCGTAGCAAATTCCAAGAAATTATAGCAACGTAAATGGCCTGCTTGCAAGCATCCTCTGACTTTGAACATTTCTAGTGACATCCTAGAGATAATAGTTAGCAAAACTTATAACTAGTTATAGACTCACGCTTCAACCGGTATTTATTAGTTCGGGTTAGAGAGTGATTAACTAACCTTAGTTGCAAAACTTTAACTCGCATATGGATATGGTAATGTTTCACGGTGCCGGAATGCACTACGATGGAATTAGATTTTCTTCGTGTCCCTATTCGCATTACTTATACCTGCGGCAAAGCTTTCGCTGCTTAATTAACTACCATCCTTTCTTCGCTAACTATGTCGCTCACCACTAACTACTATAACGAGCCCAGCAAGTTCGCCATGTCACTCACCACAACTACCATAACAACAAGCCCGACGAGTTCGCCTTGTTGCTCACCACAACTACCACAATAATCGGACGCACAGCGGAGACACCACTACCACTCGCCCTGACGACACCATTTGTACAGGCACCAAACTCTGCTGACATCTTCTCCATTAGAAGCATTATCTCGACTTTCGGGTGGTCCCGCAATTACTCAACCACCACCACCGTCGTTTGTAGCCTTAGGCTCCTATATATTATACCTTGGTCTGCGACAGAAATCTTGTGTGATGACTAAGTAATAAACCTCCGGTTTCCGACACATTGGTACCGTACGGCAGGGGTACTTTTGCAACAGCATAGAGTGCTTAAGTATAGACAGCCGGTCCGTCTCGCAGTCTTTCGTTCATTGAAGAGCACTTCGAAATCTTCCGAAATTTCTCCCAGGCCTCTAGCGATATCTCCACTGACGCAGGATAAGTGAAACGATGCCGGTATATCACATCTACTGCTCGCAAATCCAATCCGGGCCGTCAAAGTCACAATACGCCAAAAGGCTTATCAAACTCCATGCAGACACTTTCCACACCGATCCTGATGCCGTCAGGGTTATGTTCAAGACCACACTTCGTGGTGATGTCGTCAAATCATATGTTAGTTTGTCCGTCCAACCTCTTGTGGCCTCCTAGCTAATGGGCTCATCTAGGGCGGCTACGGCTTCTCGCCTGCGAAGGGACCGTTTGGTGCAGCGATTGTCGGGGATCATATGATTGCCCATATTGACTTCCGCGGCCCTCTAGAGGTATTGCAGGAATACTTTAGGAAGGTGACTGCATCGTACGGGAATAATCCTCCGCTTTCCTCGATTTACTGGCAGAAATTGGAAGCAGAATTTGAATTTGGGGGTTTCATTTCTCATCCCAAAACGAGCGAAGCGGCAAGCAGCAGTGATGCTCCTCCGCCGCATTATACTGAACAGCTGAAGGAGTAATTCAAGAGTGTTCTATTTTAAACCTTCTCGTTCTACCAATCGCTCAAATACTCAAGACAACTGAGTCTCTACGGTCTACAGTTAATACCGAATACGCTGTTTCTGCTCTCTGGCTTCCCTCTGGTACCTGGTCCGATTTAGGGTATTCAGATTTTGTTGATTGGTTTAGACGTGTCAATCAATCACGGAAGCAATAGGTTCTCCGGCAGAGGGAGTGAGATGCATGTATTGTGTAAGCTGTGGGATACATCGCAAGGTAGATATACCCGAGCTTATGTAAGATAAATAACAAGGAAATAAATCTAGCGCGATGACTAAGCAATAACCTCTGATTTCCAACAGATTTACACCCTTGGTAACATGCCTGCTACAATAATACTGTCGCAAGATGCCCCTGTTGGTTTCTACTGCCCTAACTTTTCTTTCACTGCCCATTACCCCTAGGCTAGGCCTATTTCGGACAGCTTAGTGTTTTCCCTTGTATTTAACTAGTTATCTTCAACTGTTTTGCTAGCTACATCTCCTTTTTGGGGAACAATGGGAATCGTCAAGACCAACTTGCGTTATGACTCTACAGCAACTGAGCTAAAGCAGCCAACGTGCTTAATCATCACCCACGCGAAATGCGACAAATACTTCCTAGTGGAGCCTGCAGGACGGTACAGTCCAAACACTCCTGGTGATTAACAAAGTACAACAACTTGCCAACATTCAGTTGAAGCATTGGCTGGAAGAAAGATCTAATCAAGTAGAGAAACTTCCTTTTAACTGCCCCATGGCGTAAAATGATAACCCGACTGTACATCTCATCAGAATATTGATTCTTGACCTTTGTTAAGGTTGAAATGGCTCGATGGGAAGCCAGTTGGAATGAACTTTTCGATCCGACTGAAGCTTCAATGGAAGATATGGATTATGATGTGTTATGGCATTGTGGAATATCGTCAAACTAACTCGATCTGGCCAAGGAGAAGGCTTAGGCTTAGGCTTGTGATACTCATTCCAGATATGGCGTTCAGCTGAAATAGGTTTCCCATTCCATCATCCGCCTTATCAAGCTGACTTCTTTCTCCAGTGTCTAAGCTGCTGCAATCCAGAGGCAGCACAGGGTCAGAAGCCATACTCGACTGCCAAAATACCTCAATTTCTTTTCGCTCCGCTGCTCGTCATTGCATCCTTGGCCTTATCACCATACGGTACTTCTTCTCGGACCTGCGAGCGCTACTCATTGGAGGGACAATACTAAACGAGTCTGTCCAGGTGAGTATTCAAAAAGCAATAGAAGAAGCACGTCGTGGTGATCGTGTTTATGTTGAGACTGATACATACGCTGAGTAGTTGAGTATCGAAACTGATGGACTTGAACTCATCGAATCGGGCACTACTCTCATCCCTCCTGTAGAATCCACCCCAAATACGTGTTCCGGTCTTGGAAGGAATAACACAGAGGCTGGGATCTGTGTGACTGGAGCCAACGACGACCTCGATCTGTTCGAGACAGGACATCGCAAAGTGTTATCTGCTGGCCGCTCCGTGAAAGGCGTTTCAACCACCGGCTTCAAAGTTTGCGGTTTCTTTGGAGAAATCATTGCCGTGGTTGGAGCTCGCAATACTGAAGTGAAGACTAATACACTCATCGATGGCGGAGAGTAAGGGCTTCTCACTGTTGGTTCGAAGGGGCAACGTGGTTACTTCTGTCGCAGGATGCCCCTTTTGGTTTCTAGCCACCTAACATTCCTTTCACTGCCCTCTAACCCTGGGCTAGTCCTAATTGGGACTCTCAGTCTTCTCCTAATTATGTATTTAAGTTATCTTCATCTGGCTTAGGAATATTGCTGATTGATAGCCCAACATCTGTTGGGTCTGGTAATATTGTTAAGAATATTCTGCGTGGGAATGTCTTTGACCTCTATGTCGACTCCGCTAACACTAATAATGTTATAAACAATGAATACTCAACGCTGGGACCATTCTGTACTTGAATAGTAATACATAAAAGCAAATCACAAGTCTATGACGCTGTCCTCCCTTAACTCCATTTTATAACTATAAGGAGTAACCTAATTAAAAAAAGGGCGAACTCTAATATACGGCGGTCGAGAACTGGGGATCAAAGAAACGCGGTTCATCGTATCAATATGCATAGGACGAAGAATAGTTAGAGATCAAATAATAATACAGTTTGTCCGGTTAAGACACACCACCGGGTTCTTCGTCTGCAAATTGACTCAATTCCAATGTTTTCTGCCGGCCACAACAGAGCCTTTATAACCTGAAGCTTGATAGCTGTGTAGTGATATATAAAAAGTTAATTGGCCTATACGTGTCCCATGTAAGGGACGTAGTCGTTGCCGAGAAGTTCATCATCTTCGGGAGAATCAAGGAGTACTGGGGCCAGGAGGTGAGACCGGTGGCGCTGTTGTAAGAGTTCGGATCTAACGTGTTGATGAAAGAGATGAAGTATTTTCGCATGTTGGATCCTGCCACCGCGTCTGGAACGTCGAAGAAAATTTGGAACAAGTCCGACACATGGAAAGTGCCCAAAACAGGCAACCCATACAGGCTGGTGTCGAGATAGGTCCAAGTCTTGACGGTGTAGGAAACACTAGTGAGATATGACCTTCGAGCCAAATCGAAAAAGAGATCGCCGATGATGGACGCCAGGCGCTTGAATTGGGGATAGATTTGGTTGGCAGAGCCGGTATCATATGGGGACCCATCCTCTGGTTCATCCGGATATATTGCGGCAAGACCAGCAACCTGGAGGGTCGAGGCAAGAGGAAAGTAACTCTTCAAATAGGAAATGAGTTGCTGCGTTGTTGAAAGATCCGTTTGCGGAAGAGAAAATAGTGTTCCTTCATCTTTCACGTCTCCAATGATGAGCGGGACTTTGGCGTAAGCGCCAGATCGGATGGCAGTCTCTGGAGACACCGGGAAGAAATCGTCACTTGGATCAGGCCTGGGAAGGTAGGAAAGGTTGACACTGCTGGAGTCAACGAAGTTTGGAACCGAAGTTACGGCGCTGAGGAAGTCATCGTATGACAATCCACGCAGACAAGCCAGGCTGTCCGCAGCATTAGCGCACCCAGCACTTTCGACAACTTGATCGAAAATTGCCTGGGATTTATCACTATCCACAGGGAGTGCTGGCCAAACCGAACCGGATTGCTAGCAATAGATAAGCTCAGGATTGGAATATCGACTGAGATTGTAACCTACCATGATAGCGGCGCGGAAAAGTGGCTTTCCATTGTAGCTAATATCGCCTCCGTTGATGATGGTATGGTCAAGAACTAATTCAACGGCAATTAGCAGAATGCACTGGATTTGCAGATAGGAATCGTACCGGACAAAGCTCCTGCGGATTCACCCCATAGTGTGACTTTGGTTGGATCACCACCGAATGCCCCAATGTTATCCTGAACCCATTGGATCGCAAGCCTTTGGTCACGGAGGCCAAGATTTGCGCTTCCATCGGCCTTCACTTGGCTTCCAGCGAGGAAACCAAATCCACCAAGGCGATAATTCATGGCCACGTAAATAACGGGATTATTCATGCTGATGGACTGGTTGACAAAGATCGACCCATCATAAACTTGGGTTGCACCAATTTCAAAACCACCTCCATGAATCCAAATTACAACTGGGAGTTCAGCATTATATGAAGTCCCTTCTGGCCTCTGAACATTAATAGTCAAGCAATCTTCACCGGCAACGCTAGAAAGATCCGCGAAGATCGGGGTCGAAGTGAGGAGACCCAAAACCTCAAGAGGAAGGTTTTCGGCATGAAGCTGGCCCAGGAACTGAGGGCAGGCTTGGGGAACTCCAATGGCGTCGATGGTTCCGAATGATGTGGCCAGTGGCTTGGGTGGTTTGAGACGTAATGATCCTGTCGGAGGTTGCGCATACGGAATTCCCATGAAAGACTCAACCCCCCCTGAACTTGAGCCAAATACTGTCCCATTGGAGATGGTGACACTGGTTCCAGCTCTCGGGATCAAAGATCCAGCCACAGCAGTAGAGGTAAGGCAAGCAAGAAGTGTAAGAAACATGGTTAATATATGTATGTAATGAGCGACTGAGGTAAGAATTAGATGACAAACTGATTAACTAAAGGAAAAACCGACCTGTCCCCTCAAAACTGGAAGCCTGGAATCGGCTCGTGGAGGATCTCTTCTTAAATATAATAAATGCGCAAAGACCAGCAGTTCGCATTTCAATAGTGTGACAATTTCCGAGGTAGTGGATTACTTAGCTCTTAGACTTAACTAGCTCTTAGAGCTCACAATATGCATCTGATGTCTGGGCTTGAATTCTACTATTGACCAACCCTCGCACTTCTAACCGATATGAATGAAGAGGCGGATGCATCCCCTGGCAATTGGTTGAATAATATGATCAATGACGTGATTAGTTAGCAGTTACGCCTCTAAAGATTGCTATGCCAGCTCTAACTAGTTAGATAGATACTAACTAATTTCTATAATTTCTATTGGAAGCATCAAAGTTGAGGAGACGAACAAAGTCATGCAATAATAATGTCGGCTGCCGGCGTTCGAGCAGTTAGTGGCTTACACAGTAGTCGCAAGCCCTCTCAGTTGACCAATTATATAACATGAAAGCCAATCAGCTTCTGCCAAGAAATTAGCCTCCTTTTCCGTTCCATGATAAGTTTGATAGCATTATTTGCACAACTTATGACGATACACGTAACAGATGCTTATTCATCGCCCAATACTGGCTGTTAGATTTTTTGTCGCCCTCAATTCTAAGGCTGGTACGTAAGGGGCCGTATTGTAGTATTGGGAAAGATGGCCGTCGTTTGTATCGCACTGGGACGGGGACACCACCTTCGAGAGAACTTAAAAAGATAGCCAAAGAGTGGCGAATTATCAGCGTCTGTACCGTGCAAGCCTGGACCATATGGGGGACGCTTCAGTGACAGACCACACGCTCTTCGTCGATTCCTTCGATGTCGACGTCATGTCCGAGACCTATGAAGTTTGCGAGTCCCAGGATAACGTCAGCGCGACGCTCAATGCGTGGGAACCAAAAAATGGCACCGCGGCGTATCCGACCGGAATCTCCGTCCGCGAAGCCGTGGCTCTACACGCTGGTCGGCGACGCGTACCGAACCCCCGAGTACGGTCTGGTCCGCGCGCGTCCTTCGACATGGTGATCATGAACAAAGATTTCTCGGCGACGCTGCCTTTCGACGAGTTTCAGCGACGGCATCATATGCGCTTCTCGATGGTGTGCACAGCGTGGAACCGGCGGCTGTTCCGCACTAGGAAAGGATTAATGGGGGATCGGTCCCGCGACGACGGAGGTTGGGGATGGGATCTGCGGCATAGTTGGTGGGCAGATGTTGTATATACTCCGCGAGTCGTCCGCTGGAGAACACGCCGGTATATCTGGATCAGAGAACCGATCCGTAGGTGAATGCGACGTCAATGGGCTGATGGATGGGAAGGCACTTCGCTATCGTGCGGATGGCTCGGTTATTAGTGAACATATGGCAGTTCAATGAACATCATCAGTTCTCATCCATCACTCAAATTGCGTTGAGAGAGCACATTAAACCCTCTTTGTGGTTCCCTAGCTGCCAGATTGTAAACCATATTACCAGGCCCCATATAGAATTCGGCAAAGTGGAAAGGTTTGGACACGCTTCTGTCCACGAATGGATTCGTAAATTCTTGGTGGAGAATCTCTCTTGTCTGAGGATGACAGGTGTTTGTAGTGCCCCTTCACATGCAGAGGATGGTGACAGAATTCAGGTGGCTGAAGATTTCGATGCCCCTGCACCTACATCATCGCGGAGTGACAGCCTGGATTCTGCAAAAGCTTCAGTTCTGTAATGATGAAATAATGTGTGCTCCCAGATGCGCAAGAAAACTCTTTAAATAAAGAGATAACTATCAATATCCCATCTGATGAATGAATCTATATTCAACCTGAGGCGCCTGAAAACCAATACCTATGCAACTCGCCGTTCGTCCAGCCATGGTTCTGTCAAAAGATACGACCTTTGCTGTTTGTTAGGCAACAGCAGTGGACTTCTCTAAGTTATAGAGTGTCTGGAATCACTATTTATTTCTTTTTGTTGTCGCCAAACTGTTTGGCACTCTAGCTTTTGAAGCCCGAACCTACCTCTCTTCTCTTCAAGCTCCTGCTCAGATTTCATCATCGAGTCTGCACCTATCCATTCGCTCTTGTCCACAATCCCGATGTCTCAAATACCTGGCTACTATTTCGGTGCGATTACCGGCCGCCGTTGTCTATAAATCCGCTGACCGATAAAGATGAATCGCGAAACCGATGGTTTAAGGTCGATTCCGACGATGCACTTCCAGCCAGCCAGAAGTACAGCTCCGACATCATTCGGCAGAATGCATTGAAAGCAGAGGTGGGCGAGCATGCTTTCTTTCAGTTTATTTGCTTCATATTTAAATGCATATAATGTCCTCCGCCCAGTATGCATTATTCTCTGCTCCGGTCATTTGTTTGTGGGGGGACGCCGCCATTTCATTGAATTGTATACCGTATTGGATCAAGTGCTTATATGACCTGTAGGCACAGAAGAAAGCGCGCGAACATAGAGATGCTAGGAAACACCTAATTCGAAAGATCCGACTAGACCACTCGGCAACGTTGAGGGAAGAAGTGACTGGATCTTTCAATGCTTCTCGTACCAGCTGGCTGGCTCAGAATCTAGTCCGTCAAAAGCTTTCTACCATGATGCGCCCGGTGGAAGATTTTCACGTTGTCATCAGCACGATCGATCATAAAGCGAACGTATGGATAGGAAGTTCCCAAAACCTGACGCTCCGAAATTCTACCTTTGAGCAACAGAGTCTGAAGGTGTTTGCCCCCGGCTGGTCAATCACCACCAACGACGACAGCGTGATCTACTCCGGGCTTTCCTCCGGAGGGGTTGCGTTGGACTCATTGGAGTATCTTTCCGCCGCTATTGCCATTTACGATAACGAGGCTTCCGGCCTTCCGGTACTGAGAATCGTGGATCACCCTGTCCAAAGATCGAAGTTTCCGGATATTCATACCATCGAGACGTACACCGACGCGAGAGGAGACCGTTATTTCGGCGCAATCTTTTCAGGGCAGAGAAGGGCAGGAAGTCTGCTTACCGCGGGACAACTTGACGGCCACCGTTTAGACGCAGCCCTTAAAATCACCTCCCGGACGAGTGACATCCTTGCCTTCTGCTTCCTCGACTCCAGCAAAGTGGCTTGCGGGACTCGTGCCGGCAATATCCTTGTCACGGACACTCGCCTCCCACACCCTCACATCCAGCTCTTTTCTCACGGCTCCTCGATCGTGGATTTGAAGCGGGGACGAAACGAATACAGCATCATCGCAGCGGGCCTCAAAAGTCACCTAGCAATGTATGACACGCGCATGCTTCCACCTCATGCGGTGAATGAATCCGCCATCAACGTAGTGAAGTGGACGGACAATGCTAAGGTGTTCCAGTGGGATAGACTAGCAGACACCGGACAACTAGCCTCACCAGTCGTCACATTTCCACAATACAGCAACGAATCCGACCCGCAGCTCCGCATCGCGGTACACGAGGAGCTCGGCCTGGTCGCGTCTGGCAATGATACCGCCGGAACGGTCGCCATATTCAGCCTAGATTCCGGCGCCCTGTTGCGGAAAATAGGACCGGGCCATTTCTCCGCCGGAACGGTTCGACGGCTGCAGTGGGTCGACGACGAGTACGGGGTGCCGTGGCTGTATTTCGCGCAGGACAAGATCATCGAGCGGTGGGGAGTGGACGCAGTGGATGAAGGTCTAGTGCCGCAAGAGCGGAGAAGAAAGCGGGCACGAGATGCCGACTGATTGGAATTTAGGGACTTTTCGAGCCAGTTGATGATGAAGATGTTTTGGAAGGGTAATTGACCGAAGCGGACAGGACAAGATTCGCTAGAACGACCAAGACACCACTTGCTTACTCGGTAATGGTCTTTTAATAATAATAATAAGAATCAATTTAACGTACTATCTGGATCCCTTTCGGGTCTATGAGCACGATATTCTATCTGGTCTGCCGCGGGCAAAAGTTTCCCCGTAGCCCTGAGGCTGCGGGTACATAAAATCCCGCCTCCTCCCTTTAGTAGACTATCTCAAACGTTTATCATCTATCCGTAAGAGTCGGTGTTTCCGCCTACGCGGAGAGCTTATTCTGGCACGTCGTGGAGGAAC